TCAGATGCTCCAGATCCAAGTTGAATCAGGTCATTTGAAGTTGTGACCAGAACGCTATGAACGTTTGAAGCCGCTGTGCAGAAATCCGGCTGTGCACTCTATCTTTCGTTTTAGGCACATTGGAGCCTATTGTGACTATAACAGCTGGCGGCGGCGACGGGGCCGCTGGCGGCGGCGACGGGGCCGATAGGAGCGGCGACAGGGCCGCTAGGGTCGGCGACGGGGCCGCTGGCGGCGTCGACGGGGCCGATAGGGGCGGCGACGGGGCCGCGAAGGGGCCGCGAGGGGCCTGGAAGGGCGGCGACGGGCCGCGAAAGGGGCGCCGACGGGGCCGCGAAGGGGCCGCGAGGGGCGTGGACCAGCACCGGCAGTAGCTCCAGCACCGGCAGTAGCTCCAGCACCAGCAGCACCTCCTGGACTAGTAGCTCCAGCACCAGCAGGACCTTACCCTCCACCACCAGGACTGCCTCGCAGAACGACCCACACACGAATCGCCTGCGGCGAGAGCGTCTCAAGTAGAGCAGGCTGCGGTTGCGGTGGCTGTCTAGCTCCAGTACCTCCAGTAGTAGTAGCTCTAGCACCTCCAGCACCAGAAGCACCTCTAGTACCTCCAGCTCCAGCACCTCCAGCACCAGCAGCAGCTCTAGTACCTCCAGCACCAGTAGTACCTCTAGTACCTCCAGTAGGACCTCCAACACCCCTAGAGTCAGCACCCGAAGTCTCAGCACCCCCAGAGTCAGCACCCAAAGTCTCAGTACCCTCAGTCCCAGCACCCTCAAGCTCAGCACCCTCAGTCCCAGCACCCTCAGTCTCAGCACCCTCAGGCTCAGTACCCTCAGTCCCAGCACCCTCTGTCCCAGCACCCTCAGGCTCAGTACCCTCAGTCCCAGCACCCTTAGTCCCAGCACCCTCAGTCTCTACTCCAGTGTCCACAGCAGTAGGCTGCAGAGGCGGCGAAGACGGCAGAGGTGGGAACCCCGGGGGGGTAGCCAGACGAGAAGAGCGGGCACCCCCAGACTCACCACCCCCAGCCCCAGCTCCAGTAGTCTCAGCTCTAGAGTCCAAAGCAGCAGGCTGCGGAGGCGGCAAAGACGGCCGTGGCAGGAAACCTGGAGGGGTCGCCAAGCGAGGAGTGTGGCGAGTGGTCGCCGTGTCGTCGGCGACGGCGTCACCCCCCTCAGGTGAGTCAGAGGAGTCAGAAGAGATCTCAACTGGCTCATCCAAGGGGGGTGGGTCTACCTGGGACACACCTGAGGGAGCAGGACCCTGTGGGGGGAGGGGGTCTACCGGGGGGGGGGACTGGTACCAGGAAGAGGGGTGCAAGGGGGACCGGGTGGGACGCGTGCGGGTGAAATCGGTAGTAACAGACCGACTCGTCGAAGGTGACGTCCTGAGAGGACAGAACACGACGCGAGGCAGGGTGGTAGAACTGCCAGGGTGGAGCGTCGGTGGGGAAGCCCAGGAAGACACAGCGGAGAGTGCGAGGAGAGAGCTTGCTCGCTTTGGTATCGCGAACAAGGGAGAGCGCGTCCCAGACCCGAAACGATGACACATCACCAGGCTGTCCCGTCCAACGAAGTGTGGGCGAGGTCTCTGGAGCAGAGACACGGGGCTAGAGGGAGCTGATGCGCAGCGTATCGGACCGCAAACGGCCACAGGAAATGGGGAGCAGCCGCATGGATCATGGAGGTACAAGCAACCTCCATGATCAGGCCAATGCGACGCTCAGCGATCCCATTTTGCTGCGGAGAGGCCGGAAGCGTGAACGACTTGGCGATGCCCTCATTCTGGCAGAATGTCTCAAGGACGCCAGAAGAGAACTCACCACCCCTGTCAGAGTGCATGACTGGGAAGTCCTGCTGAAAGCGCTCGTGTAGCTGGAGACGAGTAGCACGGATCCAGGGGATCAAAACACCGCTGACGTCCGCCTTGCGACGCAAGGGGAAGAGTGTGATGTAGCGTGTGTAGTTGTCAACAACCAGCAGGATGTAGCGCTTCTGGCCCGTCCCACCGACGGGGGCCGGGCCCCACACGTCCAGGTGAAGAGTCTGCAGAGAAGTAGTGGTCGGAGGAAACTCGGAGGAGTGAGGAGCGGCGCGCTGCCGCCCCTCGACGCAAGGAATGCACGGCGGCGCAAGTGAGCGCGGGAGGGGGGGCAGGGTCTCAGGGAGGCCAGAGACCAAGAGCCGGGAGTGCATGCCGCGCAGACGCTGCAGGGAGGGGTGACCAAGACGGTGGTGCCAGCGCTTAGTCTCGTACGTGAGTACTCTGCACGAGCAAGACGCAGCTAACTCCCCTGACGCAGACGCTCGACTCGACGCAGCTACCTGATCTGACTCAGCCACCTGTGCAGACGCAGTGGTCAGCGTGTACAGACTAGACCCAGGCTGTCGAGTGGACGTAGCCAGGTGACAGCCAGTCCGGGAGCACGTACAGATCGCCACACGCGGCCCTCCATGAATAAAGGTATCAACCCAGACATCCTGAATGGCAGCGTTGCTCACCAAGTTTGTCAAGAACGTGGGGAGGTGGAGACCTGACAAAGAGCCGGAGGGGACTGCTGGACAAGGGAGGACCGTGGAGCCTCTCGCAACCACTGGGCCCCCAGAGGGGTCAACAAGTGAGACTGGGACAGGTGCTGTGAGTGGTGTGACTGTGGTGCAATCACGAAAGAAGCAACGTGACGCGCCTGAGTCAAGCGTGAAAGTGTGCAAGACTTCATCTGAGGTAGGACCTGTGGTAGTAGACGCACTAGCACCTAGAGCGTCGGTAGACACACGGACACCTAGAGCTGCAGCAGACTCACTAGCACCTAGAGCAGCAGTCCTAACAGAACGATAACCTCCACCACCAGGACGACCTTGCTGAATAACAAACTCACGAGGCTGCCGAGGGGTGGGGTCGTCCGGGAGAAGCAGTGCCCGCTGCTATCCACCCCTGGTCGCAGCAACTGCCGCGCAAGTGGCCATGACAGACAGTGATGGTGAGGAGTAGGTCCAGCACCTCCAGCTCCTACAGCGCCAGCAGCACCTCCTGCACTCCCAGCAGCACCTCCACCACTCCTAGTAGCACGTGTAGTAGCAGCAGCCGTAGTAACAGCAGCAGGGCGGCGCGCGGCCAGAGCAGGGTGGCGCGCGGCCACAGCAGGGCAGTAGTAGACAGTAGCTCCTAGGGCAGAAGCACCTAGGGCCCTTGATTTTCTTTTTTGTAATAAACAATTTAATTTTATTTAGGGTATAGCAGGGCGCTGGCGCAGGGCAAGGCGCTGGCGCAGGGCAGGGCGCGGGCGCAGGGCAGGGCGCTAGCGCAGGGCAGGGCGCCAGCACGCGCAGGGCAGGGCGCTGGCGCAGGCTGCAGCAGTGCGTGACGCGAGGGGCAGCAGAGCGCGACGCGTCGGGCTGCCTTAGGGCGCGACGCGCGGGCTGCAGCAGAGCGCGACGCTCGGCTCGGCAGGTCCGCGCGCGAGCTGTAAGAGCGGCGCGAACGGGCCGCAGAGGCGGCGCACGGGCTCCAGGGGCGACGCACGGGCTGCAGGGGCCGCGCGGACGGGCTGCAGAGGCGACGCGCGGCTCGGTAGGTCTGCGCGCAGGCTGCAGGGGCAGCGTGAACGGGCTGCAGGGGCAGCGTGAACGGGCTACAGGGGCAGCGTGAACGGGCTGCAGGGGCAGCGTGAACGGGCTGCAGGGGCAGCGTGAACGGGCTGCAGGGGCAGCGTGAACGGGCTGCAGGGGCAGCGTGAACGGGCTGCAGGGGCGACGTACGGGCTGCAGGAGCGACGTACGGGCTGCAAGGGCAGCGCGCGGGCCACAGGGGCAGGCGCGGCTGCAGGGGCAGCACGGTAGCAGGGGCGAGCACGGCTGCAGGGGCAGCGCGGTCGTAGGGGCGAGCACGGCTGCAGGGGCAGCGCGGTCGTAGGGGAAGCGCACGGGCTGCAAGGGTCGCGACAGTGAGAGCTAGGGGCGCCAGCGCGCTGGCTATTGTGTAGGGCGTGGCGCTACCACTAGACGGAACGGTGGGCCAATGTAGGAACGGTTCCTACTCTGATAACATGTCTAGAAGAGAACTAGGAATGAATGATTGAACTAGGCAAGAGGTGAGTACAAGTAGGGGAAACCTAACCCTAAAGTGTTCTACTCACTAAGGAGTGACCCTACTGTAGCTTAGAGATACAATTGTAATCTGACAGATACACGCTATACTACTCGCCCAGACCAGCCCGCTACTGACAGAACTATTTACCCATGGTTATCAGACAGACCCGTTCTTTACCGGTGGCAACTCGCATCAGTTTGCAGCAGCAATGTGTTCAGCGATCACTGTTACTAATATGACATATCCCACAATCCGCATCATCCTTCAACGCAACTCATCTCCATCAGAAGTTAAGGTTACGTAGGGCATAGGCGAACACACAAAAAAAGAGGCAGGAGAAGCCGAGCAGAGCGGCATTGACGTAGCCGAGCCAGTCATGGGAGAAGCCGTAGAAGAGCTGGATGAACTGCGATACCGTCTGAGCTGGCATGCCTGGTGGACTCACCACCAGTGTTGAAACATCTCCCAACTGTAAAGCAACCAGAGGTGAAACAAGGAACAAGTGGAGAGAAGTTTGGAATGGTACCAGGAGCAGGCGGTAGGGGGAGTGGGAGGAGTGAAAATACTAGCGGTAAGGCTAGTCAATCATGAGTTACTTTACCCCTTAATTGCAAATTCCCTGCACTCATTTCCCACGCTCTGTGCGCTATAATTAGGAGTGCAGTGGAAAGTAAGATACGGAACTGAACACCCGCGTATATAATCTGATACACGAACGCGCAAGTAGGGGTTGCGGGACTGGTTCGCGATGGGTCTACCTGAGAAGCTGAGAGGCCGTAGAGAGACCATGCGACCGGGTTGATCCAGTAAAGCCATTTCCAGTAAACAGGAATTTCCTGTTGAATATGGGGGAAATGAGCAAAGGGGTTGATGCAATAAGGGAGAAGAAGAGGCGCGCGCCGTTGTAGTCAGGCATGCACCAGTACATGCGGTGCCGTTGTAGTCGGGCATGCGCCAGTACATGCGGTGCCGTTGTAGTCGGGCATGCGCCAGTACATGCGGTGCCGTTGTAGTCGGGCATGCGCCAGTACATGCAGTGCCGCTTCCACGGGTTCGTTGTGAACTGGGAGAGCGGCGTTGTGGGGTGCTGCGTTGGGAAGAACACGTCCGGAGCGCCTTTGAGAGGCACACTGCATTCATGGATGAGTGAGTGAAGGGACCTGTGGGTGCCGGGGGGGGTAAGGGGGGGCAAAGCATGTAGATTTGTCGATCAGGGAGTGTACAGAGCTGTATGAGGGGGAGCGGAGAGGACGCAAGGAGGCGAGGAGGCACGCTGGCGATGCCCTCAATGGGTGATTTTTCCAGACCTGTGGACGTGAGGGCTACGGGAAGGACATGGAATAATGAGGTACGGGGGTGAGCATGTTAAGGAGAGGGGAGGAGACAGGAGGAGAGGAGGCGAGTGAGGCACACTGGATTCCGGAATGGCCAACAATACGGACCTGTGGGCATGGGGGATAAGGGAGTGGAGAGTGAATTTGGGAGAAGGGGGTACGGGTATTGGAGAAGGGGAGAACGATGTTGTTTCACCTTTTGTTTTCCGGCAAATACCTGGTTGAATCAGAGAGGCTATGCGTCTAACGGAAAGGAAGGGATGAGAAGACAGGAAGGAAGGGTGGGGAGAGATGGGGAGGGGTTGGGATTGCAGGGTAGGTTGTAAGAAGGTGTGTGAGAAATTGGAAGGGTGTGTGAGGGTTACTGAGTTGGAAGAAGAGGCAAGGCTTGCTGTTTGGAGCTTTTGTTGTTCTCACCTGAACTGGATTGACTGACAAACCAGAAGTTTTGAACCTCTGCTGCTCTCGCCTGTCCCTGTGGCTCTGTTATTCTCACCTGAACTGCTCTGACTGGCGGAACAGGTGGACAAAGTCGACTCCAAGCCTCTCTGCTGCTGCTGGCGCCGTGACCTCCAGCATCCACACTGCAGGGCTGGCGCCGGGCTGAATGGGGCACCCCTGGGATGGACTGCACGCATGTGGGGGGGGATCATGAGGAGAGAAGGGGGATGGCATTGCATCAAAGATGGATGGTGGATGGAAGGGAAGTGGGTAAGTGCGGAAGGTGAGGGAGAAGAACAGGTAAGCCATGAAAAGAAGATGGCTTAGTGTTCCGATCCAATCCCGTACCAATGGTTCTAGCCGAAATTCCTGTCACGTGCTGGTATGTTGGAATAGACCCTGCTTGAAGTCTATTTGGTATGGTTCTTTATTATGAATACGTATTTGCATATTGATGCTATTTTGAGTTTCTTTTGGAGAATTCGTGTTCATTGTGGCCTAGGCTAATGTCCAACGTCCTGACCCTTTGCCTAGACGCCATTGTCTAAGATGATAGACATGTCCTTTCCAATATAGCTGTGCCCTACCTTGATGCACAACTGCTTTCGCAGACACTTACCGTATCACCCCGGATAGAAGCGCAGGCCTATGATAAGCGCGTGCGCTTCTATCTGGAGCAATGCGCTTATGGCCGATCCTCAATTATAAGCGCACCCCCTGTGAAAACATTACTTTTTATAAGCGCATGTACAATTTTAAATCAAAATTTCTGTTTCAAACTTTAGCGAGTTTCAATTTCGAAGCGAGTACAATCTCATTTTCGCCTAGCTTGACTCTCGAAGACCTGACTGGCTGCGCGTCCAGTCAGGATGTGCTGGCATGACTGCCAAGTGTCGCATCTTGGCCCCTCTGTGCTGGAAGAGAATCGCTTGCACGCGATTCTGCTTTGTGACGGGAAAAAAAAAACGACTCGGTTGAAATGGCAAGAGTGAAATATACAATTTGGTGTCTTAAAATTACAATTCAATGTCATAATATAAGCGCATGCGCTTATACAAATGACTCAATTACAAGCGCACCCCCCAAAAAAACACTGTTTTATTATAAGCGCACCTGCTCTTTTATCCGGGGTGATACGGTAACATATATATAGTTATATATTTATAAAAAGCTCTCTACATGCTGGTATAGGGCAACGAGCCGAGCTGCTCGGACGAGCTTTTAAAAAGCTCGTGACAAGAGACGAGTCACGAGCTTGAGTTTCCCCTGAAAAAACTAGGACGAGCTGAACTAGAGAAGGGGCAAGTTGCTGTGCGATGCTAGTCAATGTGTGGAGGTGTTGACTGCATTTCGTTACATTGTAAGCCTCATCACAGTGTATATTCACTACAACGCATATGGAATACACTTTGCACGAATGATTTTCCTCGTCAAGCGCCAAAAGACGGCAGACGGCTGGTGTATGGCGCACTGCTCACCACAGAATGTCCCGTGCGGTGTATGTCACACATATAGTGCATGCAGTCTTTGTGTGCTACATGCATTCATTACACTGTAGATTTTAATGGCTTACCTTGTCAAACGCCACAAACCCATCAATGGACGACTACCAGTGGATGGTATGGTGCACACGACTATGCCGCATGCAGTTCTTGTGTGCATCCGGACTCCATCAAACGACTCCAAGATGTGGATGGACGGCTGGTGGATGCTGCACATCACTGTGCGGCCACTCTTGACTGTGCGGCCACTCTTGACTGTGCGGCCACTCTTGACTGTGCGGCCACTCTTGACTGAGTTCTGCACCGCCCTCATCACTACGGCTGATGCCCTCGCATCCAGCCCTGCGATTGAAACACAATTGAAGGGGAGGAGAAAGAGGGATAAACGAGGTTTCCACAAGCCTAAGCGGCTGCAGAAGACCCGTGTTCACTGTGTTGTGCACCGCCTTCATCACTATGGCCGCTGCCTTTGCATCCATCCAGGCCTGCTCAGGGTGTGGGGATGGAGAGAGAGGCAAGCAGCTGACCAAATGCGAGGGCAAGAAGTAAGGCGGTGACAGAAAGGGGTACGAAGGTGGGGAACAAGGTGAACCCAAACCCTTGCATCCATCCCAGCCCCTGAAGGACCAACACAAAAAAACGAGTATTTCCCACGGAATAGGTGTTATCTGATGGGCAGGTGCTGCTTGAGGGGGAGGTGTAATCTGATGCACAGCGGTTGCCTGAGGAGGTGGGCAGGCAATGCTCGAGGGAGAGGTGTTACCTGAGGGGGAGGTGTTACCTGAGGGGGAGGTATTGACTGAGGGGGAGGTGGTACCTGAGGTGGGTTCATCCATGAAGATGATGGCGGGGTTGGCGACGAGCTCCACTGCGATGGTCAGCCGCTTCCTCTGCTCCACCGCCAGCCCGTCCCGCCCTGCCGTCCCCACCAGCGCGCCCTTCACCGCCTCCAGCTCCACCAGCTCCTCCACGAACGAACTCCTGCCAGTGCAGATCGGCAGGGATGAGGCAAGACGCTCCCACACACCACAGCGCCCTTCACCAGCTCTTATTCCACCAGCCCCGTCACCAGCCCCGTCACTAGCCCCGTCACTAGCCCCGACACCATTATGGCTTCTCTATCGTTATCACATCTCTCCATTGATCATTATCAATTCGTCATGATTACATCTCTCCATTCACCAAAAACACATCCCCCCCTTCACCGTAATCGCTTTTCTCGATTCACCGTATCACATCCATCCATCCACCAGTATTCACCATGACCACACCCGTCCACTCGCCATGACCACTACCATCCACTCACCAGGATCACATCTCTATCGATCTCCTGGGGCAGGCGCAGCCAGGCGGAGTAGAGGAGGGACTCGTGCACGGTCACCTGGGGCGTGTGAATGTCCTCCTGCTCACAATACCCCGACACCCTCAGAAACGTCTCCGGCACTTTCGGGTACCCAGACACGCGGATATCCCCTTCTATGTATCCCCCGGTCTTCCTCCCTGCCAGCACATCCATTAGCGTGGTCTTCCCTGCCCCAGACACCCCCATCAGGGCGGTCAGCACTCCGGGACGAAACACGCCAGACACATTATGCAGCAGCTGCAGCCGCTGGTCGGGCGGCCCCGCCTTGTCTTTTAGCTCGGCGGGCATGTCAACAGAGTAGTTGACGTTGTGGAATGAGAGGGTGAGCGGGGTGAAAGGGAGAACCATGCCATGTTGCTTCACCCCGCCCACACCAGGGAGGGCACCGGGGACATCATGGGCATGAGAATCAGAAGCACAGTGCTCTTTGTGGTGCGGATCAGGGTCATGGGCATCTGCATGCACGGCAACACTCATTCTCTCTCATGCTGCGAATGCACCTCCTCCTGCTGCTGTTGTTGGTGCTACTGCTGCTGAGGATTTCCCTGCTGCTGCTGCTGCTGCTGCTGCTGTTATGGTTGTTCCTGCTGCTGTGGATTCTCCTGCTGCTGCTGTTCTGTATGCGGAAGAGAACAGCTTGTTTCTGCAGTTCTCTCTTTCAAGGCGGTCGTTTCCGGGCAGATTGGAGCCCGTTAGAGCAGCTTCCCGCGCGTCTAGCTGATGCTGGGAAATCACTGGCTGCGCCTTGGGCCAAGCTGGGGGGGATTGGGTGTGCGAGGGGATGAGCAGGGCGGGGAGAAGGGGTGAAGATTGGGGAGAGAAGGGAGAGAGCAAGAGAGGAGTGAGTCAGACGGAGAAGGGAGAGAGCAAGAGAGGAGTGAGTCAGAGGGAGAAGGGAGAGAGCAAGAGAGGAGTGCTGTCGTGAATCCCCCTCTGCTGTCCCTTCCTTCTCACTCTCCCTTGAATCCCTGCCTGACTTCCTCCTCCCTCTCCCTCCGCCTCTCATCCAGGTGACCGGCTCATCCCTTCTTCCTCCTGACGTATGTAATCACTCTGTTCTGATCCCCTCCTCGTATCTCAGGCTTCCCTGCCCCCTCCCGTGACTGAGCACGCACCCGAGCTGCTCCAGATACGGGATCCAATGCCTGAGGCTTCTCCCTTCCCGCCCTGGCCACGTTGGTGATATGCTCCTTCAGGTACTTCCCTCGATCATCCTCCAGCACTAGCACCCCCGACTCCCTTACCTCTTTCACCCTCCATCGCTCCGGTCCCACAGCTAAGTCCAGCGTATCTCGCTTAGCCCTGCGCAGGTACACCTCCTGCCCCGCTTCCACTTTGTCACTCTTTCCTCCCATCCCTCCTGCTTTGCGCTGCTGGTACCGCCTTGCATCCCTCAGCTGCGCCACGTGTAGATTATCCAAGGCAGCTGGAGTCAGCTCTTTCAGATACCTCGCCCTCTTCTCCGCTAATCCCGCCCACAGGCTCGGCTCGTCCGCTTCAATTGTCGCCGAGAGCAGCTTCGGTGCATCCACAGGTAGCACCGGGTCCCGTCCGTACAGTAGATGATACGGGGACAGATGCTTCAGCGCTACCTGCTTCGCAAACCGGTATCCTGCAAGCACCCACCAGAGATCCCTGTCCCAACTCCTCTTGTGTGTCTCTCCATAGGCCCGAAGTCCTTTCTTCACGGTTTGTATGAGCCTCTCTGTCAGCCCGTCCGATTGAGGGTGATACCTTGAGGTGACACGATGCGTGATGCCCATTTCTTCTAGCAGCTCATCAAAGCTCCCTTGAAACTCTGTCCCTTGATCAGTAAGCACCTCTCCACATGCCCCGTACCTGGTCAGTACTTACTCCTCGAATGCGTCCGCTATCAGTGCGCTACTCTTGCTTGGTAATGCCCGCGCCTCCACCCATTTGCTCGTGTGCTCAACCATGATCAGAATGTACTGCTTCCCTCCTTTTGATAATGGTAACTCTCCTGCCAGGTCCAGCGACCACCTGTAACCTAACCCCCGAATCGGTAGTGAGTTCAGCTCCTCCCTCTCCTTTTCCAGCCTTGCTTTATTCCTTTGACAAGCCTCGCAGCTGGCTACCAGTCCTGCCACATCCTTCCCCATGCTTGCCCACCAGTACATGGTGCTCAACAGCTGCCGTGTCCTGGTGATGCCGTAATGTCCTAGCTTCGCATGCACCTTCCCCATGATCCTGTTCCTCTCTTGCGGCTGCGGTACTACCCTCCATCCTTCGCTGGTCCTCAGCTGCAGCTGCTCCTGAAACCATCTGTAATGCTGCCCTCTGGCTCTTGCTCTCTCACTAACGCCTTCCTCCTCCAGTGGCTCCCCTTTGATCCAGCTCATGGTCTCCTCGTCCTCCCATATATCTGCTAACCGCTTCTCTCCCTTCTCCTGCCCCCAGGTCACGGCCACGGCGTGGGCTAAGGCCGCCAGCTGCGCTACCGGCTGCATCGGTGGTGGGTTCCTTGACAGCCCATCTGCATGCTGCAGTGTTTTACCCGGTCGGTGCCGGATCTCAAAGTCGAATCCCAGCAACTTGATAGCCCATCGAGCGTTTCTTCCCGTCAGCTCTTGATTAGTCATCAACCATAGCAGTGGCTGATGATCAGTCACTAATGTGAAGTGCCGGCCCTGTAGGTATACCTTGAAATGCGTGATTCCCCACACTGCCGTCAGACCCTCTCCCTCGTATGAGCAGTAGTTAGCCTCGGATGGGCTGCAGCTGCGGCTAGCAAAGGCTATCACTCTTTCCTCTCCCTCGATTTCTTGGCAGAGCACCGCTCCCATTCCCGTACTGCTCCAGTCCATGTACAGGATGAAAGGCGCTTCTGCCCTCGGTATCTGCAGTAAGGTCCCTGTCCTAACTGCTTCAAGCAAGTCCTGCCTTGCTGCCTCCTCCACTTCTCCCCATTGCCAGCTCTTCCCTTCCCTCAGCAGCTGGTTCAGTACGTAGGCGCGGCGACTGAAGTCTGATACAAACTTCCTGTAATAATTCAGGAAGCCGAGTAACGCCCGCAGCCCTGTCTTGTCCTTTGGCGCTGCCAGGTTCTCCAGCACCTTAACCTTCGCCTCTTGTATGGCCAGCCGACCGCCCTTCACTTCAAACCCCAGGTAGGCCACCGTGTGCCTCGCCATCTTACACTTATCTGGGTGACACGTCAGCCCTGCAGCTGCTATCGCCTCTAGAGTCTGCTTCAGATCTTGCACATGCTGTTCTTCGCTGCTGCTGTAAATCAACACGTCATCAATGTAGCAGGCGGCAGCTGGAATCCCCTTCAGCACTTGATCCATGGCTCTCTGGAACACTGCTGGTGCGTTACGAAGCCCGAAAGGCATAACGTTGTACTCATACAACCCGTCCACCCCGTGAAATGCAGTTTTCCGTTTATCTTCTTCTCTAATGCCTATCTGATTGAAGCCCTGCCGCAGGTCCAAGGTGGTGAAAACGGTGGCCCCTTCCAGCCGGTCGAAAATGTCTTCAGCAGTCGGCATAGGGTATCTGTCAGGGCTTGTAATCTTGTTCAGCTCCCGGAAATCCCCGCACATCCGCTTCGCTAGAATCTTTCCCGTGATGTCCTTCCTAGCAGCTACCACCGTGGCCGCCGCGTAACTTGATTCTGACGGGCGAATAATCCCTGCAGCTAGCAACTCCTCACATTTCTCTTTGCAGATGGCTGCATCCTCCGCATTCATTCGCCTCCTGCGTTGGTATGTAGGTAGCTCGGTCGTGAGGTTCAGCTCCAGCTCTCTCCCCTTGTATCTCCCCAATTCCTGCAGGTTATAGGCGAAGGTGCCCCTATGCTGCCCCTCTGCTTCCTTGCCTACTGGTGGTGCAGTATCGATCTCCTTCTCGTCTGTGAGCTTGTTGACAGCGGTGTAAGCAGCCTGCTTGCCGCCCCTGCCCTTCTCCTCTTCCGACTTTCCCCTTTTCTCGGCTGGCCCCTTTCTCATCTCACTAACTAGCCATCGCAGCGAGTGCTGGTCTATGGCTCTGCCCAAGGCAGCTTTGCGCACCTCCTCCCCCACTCCGTCTGCTGCTGTTGCCCCCGGCAGGTACCCCATGGCTAATTCCCGCTCCAAAGCCGTCGGCTCCTCCCATCTTTTCTTACGATGATCGTACACCATCCCTGGACCTGGAGTCCCTTCCACTTCGACAAATCTCCGTGCCTTTGCGTAAGCCACCAGTGTCGGCCAGGCCCTCCTTGCTTCCCCCACTCGGTTACACTGATACTGTCGCGGATGATCTGGCTTTACCACTGGGGCGGCCACTCTCCCTGGTTCCAGGATGTCTTCCACAATTTGGCTCTCATCTCTCTCCACCCTTGCTAATCTCGCCCTCAGTTCTCCTTCTGGCAGGACGTTCTGCCAATACTGCCGCACTCTATGACACCTTGCCCCCAGCTGTGCCCCATCACAACTCACTCCCCTTCCCAATTCTGCTTCCACTAGCTCGCGTACGGCTCGGACCGGCTCCCTGATATCACTCCTCATATCCACATGTTCTAGGATGTAAGCATATTCCCCGCCAGATTCTCTCGCCCACCTCATAATCGTCAGTAGTGTTGTCACCATCGCCGTGCGGTCATCCTGCATTCCTCTTCCTTTCCTTGCTCGGGAAGTACCCTGGCACTCCCACCCTGCTACCAACAGTTCCACCTTTCCCCAGCGGTTCACATCTTCCCTGGTAAGCTGTCCCACATCCCACTTCTCGGCTGTCATGATCAGTATGCCTCTGTTTACTATTACCAAGTCCCCATTCTCCCGTAACTGTTCTGTCACCTTCCTTCCCAGCAGGACACTCTGTGCGCCTGTATCCACTATGGCGTTCTCCACTGGTATGCCCCTGACAGCCACTGCCTTAGGTTCTACCACCAGAGCCGTAGGTTGGCAGACGAGTCTCTCCTCAGGATGCCGTCGAGCCGTCCTCGGCTTATTACTTTCTTCTCGTTGCCGAGGGGTTCTCCTTTCAGGCTGCTTCTGCTCTGTCCTGCCATCCTTCCCACCGCTGCGCAACCCCAACTCCTCTCGGTCTCTAGGTGGTATAGCCATGGCCCCGTACTCCGCCTCCTCTCTCTCATACTCCTCTTCTTCATCGTCCTCCCAAGCCAGCAATGCCTTCTCAGGGTCCTCACTAATCCCAGTCTTCTCCAGCTGTCCCTTCAACTTCGCCAACTCTCTCTCTAACTGTAACTCCTTTGCCGATTTTCCTCGCATTCTCTCTCCCTTGCTGTAGCACCTGTCTTCAGTATGCCCCCTTTTCCCACATCCGGTGCAGATAGGTGCCTTGGGGCAGTCATGTCTGAAATGTCCTTTCATCTTGCATGTGTCGCACACTATGTCTATGGCGCAATCCTTCCGCACGTGCCCCTTTTCGCCGCACTTGTAACACCTGCGTCTATCTTCAGACGGCCTCTCTCTTCGTTCCTCTTCCCCCTGTCTCCCTTCCACTGCTGCCCAAGCAGGCCTCCGACGTTCGCTCGGCCGATTGGAGCTTGACCCCCTCATTCCTTCGAAGAACCTCTTTCCATACTCCACTTCTTTCGCCACCTGGTACACCTGTCGCAGCTTCGCGCGTACCCCCAAGGAGTATAGTCGGCTTCTCATGTCTCGTATCAAGTCCCCATCCAGCCCGTTGACGAACTTGGTCACTAGGATGCGTTCCTCCACACAGCCCATATCCTCTGCCAGCTCCAGTAAACGGTTATAGTAGGCCAACAGCGACTCTGCCGGCGCTCTTATGAAGTCTTGAAACTCCGCCATCCGGTTAGCCGAATGCCCCGGGAACTGCTCCTGCAGGCTATCCAAGAAACGGTCAGTAATCTCTGCCGGTAAGATATCTCCTCTGTTGCTCCGCATCAGCAGCCCCTGCCTCTCCACGCGGTAATGAGTCAACGCCTCTCCTTTGAGAGTCCTCCCCAAGCCTCTGAAAAATTCGATAGGATCCAGTCGCTCCCTGTCCCAGCAGTAGCGAATGTCTTCAATCATCATCAGGTAGTTTTTCAGCGTGGGCTCCTCTCCAGGTGCCCCCGAGAAGCGGTCTGGTACCTCAATTTTGGGTGGTGCAATACTCATCGACCTGCCTCTCCCCCAGCTTGTGTTCCCTCGTTCTCCACTCCCTGCAGGTCGCCCTGCTCTCCCGGCCTCCGTGGCTTCGTATCCTCCGGCAGAGAATCCGTGATATGCTTCCCCGCCTCGCTGACTTCGTCGTTCCTCCGATTGATCGTCTCCTCCCCTCAGACTACGCCTTTCTTCTCGTTGATCTTCTTCTCCTCTCAGAATCCGCCGTTCTTCTCGATGATCTTCCCCTCCCTTCTGACTCCGTCGATCTTCATGTGGATCGTCTCCTCCCAGATCTGGATTTCCTCGGCGAGATCCACTCCCCGCAGGTCGCTCTCCACTCCCCTCCGCGGGCGAGTCGCATGCCGAGCTCGGCTGTTGTTCTCCGTGTACACCTCGTTCTTCCTCCCGATCCCCGCCTTGGTTACCGCGTGGGTTCGTCCCTCCTTCGCCTGCCCGAAATCCAGGCATCATGACCGGCGGATCACGTCCCTCCATCATCCTCGCCGAGAATCGGTGTCCAGAGCGCAGTTGATGAGTGTGAAGCTCGCGGTCAAAATTACTCATTCCTCACGGTGCATCACCGCGAGCAACTCCAGGCAGTAGATCCTGCCACCTCTACTCTCAACAATCGTAATCCTGACCACTCTTTTTGCTTGTATGAAACAAGGCTTAACTCCCTCGCAAGGGCTCCGCCGATTTGCTTCTGCTCCTCTCTACTGCTAGTTCCCCGTGGATTAGGAAAGCACAATTGCAGTAAATGAGAAACATACAAGCAAAAAGCAATGAGTCTGAGCGCTACTTCCGTCTACATCCTCTCCTGCCTAGGTGCCTTGTCCCGCAAGCTACCTCTACTCCTAAGCGCGAGTCAGCCGAGCTGATCGCGTAGGCTTCAAGGTGCTAGCTAGGTCCCACTGGGCCCACTAGGCATGCACCGCCTTCCAGCCTGTGAATGTCGAATTGAATTCCCAGGCTGGCTGGAATCGAATTCGCCCTCATCCTCCTCACCAACCCCCTCGAACTCCTCAGTAGCTCGACTCTGTATAGTACAGTAACATTCCAAAAAGAGCAAACAAAGTAAAATGCAAAAAGCAGTAAACTATAGTACACCTCACCTTGGCTGCTGTGGAATTCACACTTAGTTGCCAGCTAAGTGTTAATAACGCGACAGTGCGTTGTGACATCTGATTGACACTAGGAGATCACTGGCTGCGCCTTGATCCAAGGTGGAAGAGGAAGGAAGCAAGGAGGAAGCGGTGGGGTTGGATATGGCGAGGCGAAGGCAGAGGAAAGGAGTGGGGTGTGTTGGGGAGATCTGTGGCTGCTCCTTGGGCAAGGCTGCTGGCAGGGAGGTGGGTAGGGCGGGTGAGCGGATGCGGAGGATGAGGGCGAGGGAAGAGGAGAGGCCATGAGGAATGGAGGGGTGGCAAGAGGAAGGGAGGGGAGGCAAGAGGAAGGGAGGGGAGGTAAGAGGAAGGGAGGGGAGGCAAAAGGAAGGGAGGGGATGCAAAAGGAAGGGAGGGGATACAAAAGGAAGGGAGGGGATGCAAAAGGAAGGGAGGGGATGCAAAAGGAAGGGAGGGGATGCAAAAGGAAGGGAGGGGATGCAAAAGGAAGGGAGGGGATGCATATTGAAGGCAGGGGAGGCATATTGAAGGGAGGGGAGGCAACAAGGAAAAGAGGGGAGGCAACAGGAAGAGAGGGGAGGCAAGCAAGGAGGGGGAAGGGAGGAAAGGCAAGAAGAAGGAAGGGGAGGCAATATGAAGGGAGGCAGTAAGCACACATTGAGATATGTAAGTGCGGCACTTACGGTTGAGATATTTAAGTGCGAGGATGGTAACCGCGTTGCAGAAGAGAGTGAAGAAGACACCAATAGCAGCAGCGGCCCACAGCCAGTGGCAGTGGGTCCAGAGGCTGCGCGCCTCGAGAACCTGCACTCCCATTGTCACGTTCAGTGATGGCGGCACAGAGGGCTGGCAGGAGGACGGGTCACGGGAGGGAAGAATTGGGAAGAAGGGATGTGAGGGAGTACGGAAGAAGGGGGGCGTGGGGGGGAGACAAGAGGAGAGGAGGAAGGAAAAGGGGGGGGAGGAGGAGGGAGAAGCAGATTGGAGCGGATAAAACGGGTGCAAAGCGAAGCGAATGGAATGAGGGAGACGGATGTGCTTGCTATCCAGAAAAACATATGTATGCAGGTAGCACACATGGCATGGTACGCACGTGCTATGACACAGCATGACACGCCACACCTGATACCCACCACATTGCATGCCATGCCGCACAACATGGCATGGCAGATTACATGCCTCATGGGGATACAGTAAACTAGGTACACTATGTGCAAGCATTGTGCTGTATCGCATATGCTATGCGCAACCAACCATACTGTACCATAACATACCATGCTGTACAGTACTGCTAACGCACGTACCATATCATACCATACCCTACAGTACTGTACCGTATACATCGTACCGTACAGTACCATACAATGCCATGGCACAGCAGCACATACCACATCCCATCTGGGGGCGAGAAACTCATTCGTGGAGAAAGCGTTGAGCATGTAAGTGAGGGGTGACAGCCAGTACACCCACACCCACACGCCATGGATGTCCGCTACAGGGGCGACGGGCATGGAACAGGTGAACGAGGGTGTGCGCATGAGAGTTGGATAAGGATGGGATGAGTGGGCAGGGCAGCAGGTGAGGCGAGATCCAATACAGCCATACGCTGCAGATGCCGGCTAAATGTGGAGGGAATGGAGTGGGTGAAGTGAATGTGTGAAAGGGAGTGCGCGTGAGGGCATAATTGTTGGGCATGTGAGAGCACGTGTCATGTGAGAGATTTACAATGAGATGGGTATGTAGTGAGGGGCTAGATAGAAAAGGCATGCGGCAAGGGATACACTCGAGATGTGTGAGTATGAGTGAGTAGCATGCAAGGATTAACACGGGATGGGAAGATTCGCATGTTTGTCCCGTTGATCTTGATTCATGAGGCACGTGTGGGTGTACCGTGTACTACGTATGTGGTCTGATTTCCATGTGTTTGTACTTTGTAAATGAGACCTATGCGTGTGTTTCTTTCTATTGTGAAAATAAGTTCCGTGCCTGCCTTGCTCGTGCATATCAGAGATCTCGAGCACACACTTTTGGTCATGATGAGCCCACATCGCAGAACGAAGAGCACAAGGCTGAACCTGGCAACGTGAACCCAGCTCTGACATGAAAAAGGGTTCGAGTGGGTCCGTTATGAAAAGGGTACGTGAATGCATACAGGTACCTACCCTACCCCAAGAGCGCTCACAAGCAGAGCACGTACGTTGGGTGATGATGAAGCCGGAGAGCAGGAAGAGGAGCGTGAGGATGAAGTTGTTGAGTGTGTTGACGAGCACAGTGCTGCGGAAGATGACTCCCATGGCTCGGTACAGCGCTGACGTGGCCGCGTGGGTGAGGAAGTACAGCATTAGCTGGGTGATGAAGCTGCGAGAATGGAGAGAGAGGCAGGGGAGGATGTGAGTGAGGGTGACAGGGAGGGAAGGGAGAGAGAAGCAGGGGAGGATGTGAGTGAGGGTGACAGGGAGAAACGGCAGGAGAGGATGTGAGTCAGCCACCCCTCCCTGTCACTCTCACTCACATCTTGGAGAGAAACAGCAGCCCTTGATTCAAGAGCTGCAAGAAAGCTCTCATGCCTCTCTTTGTACAGATGGGACGAACGCAGAGGCTGCAAAAAATACCAAAAGATATGAGCAGCCTCCTACCGGGAGGACCACACCGTACCTTGCTGAACCTACCCGGGTGAAACTCACTGGGAGAATTCGGGAGCGAAGCCGATGCCATAGTAGGTGACGTGATGGGGGTCCACACCCCAGCGGACCAGAGGGAGACGGGCTGAGAGAGCAGCGCCATGGGCACCGCCCACGCCCACGCGGGGAAGAGCAGGCAGGTTGTCCCATTGGAGGAAGAAGATGGGCAGGCGCGCCGTGAGCAGCGTGATCTCGATGAAGCCGCCGAACAGCATCGTGATTATGCCGAAGAACATCGCTCCGAGATAGTAGTTGCCGTCGAGAGGCGTGATGGTGAACTGCGAGCGCCAGAAGACTGTCATTGTGACTATAGCGAGGGGGAGGATCTGGAAAGGGAAGGGGATAAGAAAGGAGGAGACGTGACATAAGACAAGTAGGTGACAAGCGCTACCACTATGGTTGCAAGTGGATGCAGTCACATCTTACTGTACAGAACATCTAGCAAGTTGCTAGCAGCACGTGACATCTTGCTACCAGCATGTCAACATCCTGGTACCCTAAGTTGGAAGATACGCAAGCGTAAAAAACGCGGAGCGCATTTATCCCAACTTAGCTGGTACCTACGTGTAACATCTTGGTACCTGCATGGTGTGCAAACTGAAGATGAGCAGATTCCGCCAGTCACACTGACTGTAACGAGCATTTGCAACTAGTATTGGGAACAAACATCTGCACTACCTGGATATGGTGTGCAATGCACAGAGGTACATATTTCCACCAGTTACTGTGACTGTAACGAGCATGTGCTGTACCTGCACGGTCTGCACGATGTAGAGCAGCAGGTTCTGCCTCATCAGCAGCCACTCACGGCCCGCCAGGATGGTGAGCGCCGCAAGAGGAGGAAGCACAAACCGCCGCTGTGCCAGTGCACGTGACGCACCTTCCTCCTCTTTGCCTCTGTTCCCTTCCTCTCCCCCATTGTCAACGTCTTTCCCCTGACCCTCCTCCATGTCTTTCAACTCTTTTGCCTCATCCTCTCCCTTGACCGTGATCCGATCCTTCTTGAATGGAATGGAGAGCTCTGCTTTCATCTGCTTGCCGAACCAGGAGGCTCGGAAGGCCTCCTGGAAGGCTTGGACAGACACGTAGCGGTACGGGTGGGGCTGGGATGGGTGCCAGTACTGATCCTGGTCTTTTAGCGAGGTGACCTATAGGGGGGATTGGAGACGAACAAAGTATCTCACAGTTGAATTTGAGAATTCTCAGGACCAAGTCATAGGCAGCATAAGGAAAACGCACTTCTTATCTCAGGTACCTTTGAGACTATTCAGGAGCAACTGAAGAGGCACCACTGGGAAAAGGAAACACACCTCTTGCAGGAAGTCAGCCACTCCTTTGCGGGCGGGCGGCACAAACCCCATTTCCTGGAAGAATCCCAACACCTCTTCCCTGGGCCCATGGTACACAATCCGCCCCTCTGACATCAGCATGACGTCATCAAACAGCTCAAAGGTTTCCGGTGCCGGTTGCAGCAGGGAGATGAGGGTGGTGGTATTAGTTACGTGCGTGAGGCTGCGCAGGGACCGTATGATCCGGTGGGCAGTGGCGGAATCGAGGCAGTTGGGAATCTCGTCCAATAGGAGGAGCTGCTTTGCACCCAGCAGTGCTTCGGCGATGGTCAATCGCTTCTTCTCGCCTCCTGAGATCCCTCTCCGCATGCTGTCCCCTACCATGGTATCAGCACACACGTCCAGCCCGAGCATCTGCCGATCAGGTGGCATTGGGTGCAAGGGGGAGCGGAGGAGGTGGCTGAAGTGTGATTCGCTTTCTGTCCTCTTGGTACAGCTCTTTGCACAGTGACGCTTATCACGGTATCAGCACACATGTGCAAGCCCGGCGTCAGGGTAGGGGTAGAGTGATGGAGTGCAGATCTGAGTTGCAAGGGGTGAGTGATGGAGTGCAGATCTGAGTTGCAAGGGGTGAGTGATGGGAGAAGCGAGCGGCAGCGTGCTCAGCAGGGACGACTGTGGGCAGAGAGAAAAGGCAGGTTGATTAGCCGACTGAAAAGAAGAGACAAGTGTGGTACGGATAAACGAGCGGAGCAAAGAAAAAAGAATGACGAACACACACACACACACACACACACACACACACACGCACGCACGCACGCATGCACGCACGCACACACACACACACACACACACACACACACACACACACGCACGTGCGCGCGGCTGACACCCCCCTCCCCTCCCACGAGCACATTTACGCAGAACCGCGCACACCTTGAGGACGTACGGCACCACCACATCTGCCCACCGCCCCTCATCGCCCATCGCCTGCAGGAGTGGACGGCGGGACACACGCAGCAATGCCACAAAGGAACGGGGACGGGCCGAAGGGTTTCCGGAGAGGAGGGGTTGAGTTGTCAAATTCAGTCCACTTATGCATGTGTATACTTGCTTATAAGGGCGCAAGGGAGGCAACACGATATGTATAATGAGAAACAAAACATTGCATGTTTGAATCATAAGGGGTGTCAATTTGGTAGTATCAAAACCAACTCCCGACATACGAGCAGGAGGCAGCAGAAATGGAAGTGCTTGAGTCGGCTCGAAAGTCAACCTGGGCAGATTGAAACATCTTCTCATACTCAAGAACAGTATGCACACATGTTCGTCACCATAAAATGGGCAATAAAAATGTTCCACCATAGAAGTAACAGCAGTGAACGTCATCACCTTGATGGCAACATCCGGCATGACATCATCACCCCCATGACATCATCACCTTGGTCTTTTGTTACATAAATACCCCCATGATCTCATCCCTCCACATGAAATCATCCCCCCATGACGTCATCACCATCTACAAAGGGGCTCCCATGACGTCATCACGCCCATGACATCACCATTACCTTGACAACGGTTCGCATGACATGGTCGGGCTTGATTCCCATCTCCCGCTCCTTCTCCTCCAGCTGCCGACATAGGTCTGCGTGGGTGGGGTGCCGAATGACGAGGGCGCCGAATGACGAGGGCGCCGAATGACGAGGGCGCCGAATTAGGCGGGAGAATGGGACGGCGGAGGGATTAGGGGAAGGAGGGAGGGGAGAAAGGACGGCGAAGAAGGGAGGGAGGGAGGGAGGGAGGGAGGGAGGGAGGGAGGGAGGGAGGGAGGGAGGAAGAGAGGCACGTGTGCTATTTTCAAGTGCCCAAAAGCAAACTGTTGGAAAATAATTCGGAGTTGGAGTGAATGAATGAACAGTAGCTGCCATGGCGGAAGGGATGCACCACGGGACTGAGCTCGGACCACCTGCCCGTGGCCATGCGGCTGTTGCCACGTCTCAAACCTCTCCGAACCCAGGAGGACTTGGGAACAGAAGCAAAGAGCACTACATGCCTTCCCTGTGACTGATTGTTTTGCAGGCGAAAGGGAGAAGGCACGCATATCTTCAAGAGTCATTCAAATGTGTGGCCGCCCCCTGTTTGTTTGAAGACACCTCAAACCTCACCTGCCATGTAGCCGGGCCCCTGCAGACGAGCGGAGAACTCGAGTGTCTCCCTCACATTCATCTCGCCGATGTGGGAGTCCGTCTGAGGCACAAACGCCACGGAGCGCGGCAGCACAAAGTGGCTGCCCGGGCGGCCGTTGTACGTGACCTCGCCCTGCACGCGCAGCTCCCTCTCCGCCCTCCCTGCCAGGGTCCTCAGCAGCGTTGACTTGCCGCTGCCTGGCGGCCCCAGCAGCAGCGTCATCCTGTGGGATGAGGCGAGGAGCAGATGGAACAGGGTGATGAGGTGATAATCAGATGAGGTGATTATCAGATGAGGTGATAATCAGATGAGGTGATAATCAGATGAGGTGATAATTAGATGAGGTGATAATCAGATGAGGTGATAATCAGATGTGGTGATAATCAGATGAGGTGATAATCAGATGAGGTGATAATCAGATGAGGTGATAATCAGATGAGGTGATAATCAGATGAGGTGATAATCAGATGAGGTGATAATCAGATGAGGTGATAATCAGATGAGGTGATAATCAGATGAGGTGATAATCAGATGAGGTGATAATCAGATGAGGTGATAATCAGATGAGGTGATAATCAGATGATGGTGATAATCAGATGAGGTGATAATCAGATGAGGTGATAATCAGATGAGGTGATAATCAGATGAGGTGATAATCAGATGAGGTGATAATCAGATGAGGTGATAATCAGATGAGGTGATAATCAGATGAGGTGATAATCAGATGAGGTGATAATCAGATGAGGTGATAATCAGATGAGGTGATAATCAGATGAGGTGATAATCAGATGAGGTGATAATCAGATGAGGTGATAATCAGATGAGGTGATAATCAGATGATGGTGATAATCAGATGAGGTGATAATCAGATGAGGTGATAATCAGATGAGGTGATAATCAGATGAGGTGATAATCAGATGAGGTGATAATCAGATGAGGTGATAATCAGATGAGGTGATAATCAGATGAGGTGATAATCAGATGAGGTGATAATCAGATGAGGTGATAATCAGATGAGGTGATAATCAGATGAGGTGATAATCAGATGAGGTGATAATCAGATGAGGTGATAATCAGATGAGGTGATAATCAGATGAGGTGATAATCAGATGAGGTGATAATCAGATGAGGTGATAATCAGATGATGGTGATAATCAGATGTAGGTGATAATCAGATGAGGTGATAATCAGATGTGGTGATAATCAGATGAGGTGATAATCAGATGAGGTGATAATCAGATGTAGGTGATAATCAGATGAGGTGATAATCAGATGTGGTGATAATCAAATGAGGTGATAATCAGATGAGGTGATAATCAGATGAGGTGATAATCAGATGAGGTGATAATCAGATGAGGTGATAATCAGATGAGGTGATAATCAGATGAGGTGATAATCAGATGAGGTGATAATCAGATGAGGTGATAATCAGATGAGGTGATAATCAGATGAGGTGATAATCAGATGAGGTGATAATCAGATGAGGTGATACTCAGATGAGGTGATAATCAGACGAGGTGATAATCAGATGAGGTGATAATCAGATGAGGTGATAATCAGATGAGGTGATAATCAGATGAGGTGATAATCAGATGAGGTGATAATCAGATGAGGTGATAATCAGATGAGGTGATAATCAGATGTGGTGATAATCAGATGTGGTGATAATCAGATGAGGTGATAATCAGATGTGGTGATAATCAGATGAGGTGATAATCAGATGAGGTGATAATCAGATGAGGTGATAATCAGATGAGGTGATAATCAGATGTGGTGATAATCAGATGAGGTGATAATCAGATGAGGTGATAATCAGATGAGGTGATAATCAGATGAGGTGATAATCAGATGAGGTGATAATCAGATGAGGTGATAATCAGATGAGGTGATAATCAGATGAGGTGATAATCAGATGTAGGTGATAATCAGATGAGGTGATAATCAGATGAGGTGATAATCAGATGAGGTGATAATCAGATGTGGTGATAATCAGATGAGGTGATAATCAGATGAGGTGATAATCAGATGAGGTGATAATCAGATGAGGTGATAATCAGATGAGGTGATAATCAGATGAGGTGATAATCAGATGAGGTGATAATCAGATGTGGTGATAATCAGATGAGGTGATAATCAGATGAGGTGATAATCAGATGAGGTGATAATCAGATGAGGTGATAATCAGATGTGGTGATAATCAGATGAGGTGATAATCAGATGAAGTGATAATCAGATGTGGTGATAATCAGATGAGGTGATAATCAGATGAGGTGATAATCAGATGAGGTGATAATCAGATGAGGTGATAATCAGATGAGGTGATAATCAGATGAGGTGATAATCAGATGAGGTGATAATCAGATGAGGTGATAATCAGATGAGGTGATAATCAGATGAGGTGATAATCAGATGAGGTGATAATCAGATGAGGTGATAATCAGATGAGGTGATAATCAGATGAGGTGATAATCAGATGAGGTGATAATCAGATGAGGTGATAATCAGATGAGGTGATAATCAGATGAGGTGATAATCAGATGAGGTGATAATCAGATGAGGTGATAATCAGATGAGGTGATAATCAGATGTGGTGATAATCAGATGAGGTGATAATCAGATGAGGTGATAATCAGATGTGGTGATAATCAGATGAGGTGATAATCAGATGAGGTGATAATCAGATGAGGTGATAATCAGATGAGGTGATAATCAGATGTAGGTGATAATCAGATGAGGTGATAATCAGATGAGGTGATAATCAGATGAGGTGATAATCAGATGTGGTGATAATCAGATGAGGTGATAATCAGATGAGGTGATAATCAGATGAGGTGATAATCAGATGAGGTGATAATCAGATGAGGTGATAATCAGATGAGGTGATAATCAGATGAGGTGATAATCAGATGAGGTGATAATCAGATGTGGTGATAATCAGATGTGGTGATAATCAGATGAGGTGATAATCAGATGAGGTGATAATCAGATGAGGTGATAATCAGATGAGGTGATAATCAGATGAGGTGATAATCAGATGAGGTGATAATCAGATGTGGTGATAATCAGATGAGGTGATAATCAGATGAGGTGATAATCAGATGAGGTGATAATCAGATGAGGTGATAATCAGATGAGGTGATAATCAGATGAGGTGATAATCAGATGAGGTGATAATCAGATGTGGTGATAATCAGATGAGGTGATAATCAGATGAGGTGATAATCAGATGAGGTGATAATCAGATGTGGTGATAATCAGATGAGGTGATAATCAGATGAGGTGATAATCAGATGAGGTGATAATCAGATGAGGTGATAATCAGATGAGGTGATAATCAGATGAGGTGATAATCAGATGTGGTGATAATCAGATGAGGTGATAATCAGATGAGGTGATAATCAGATGAGGTGATAATAAGATGAGGTGATAATCAGATGAGGTGATAATCAGATGAGGTGATAATCAGATGAGGTGATAATCAGATGAGGTGATAATCAGATGAGGTGATAATCAGATGAGGTGATAATCAGATGTGGTGATAATCAGATGAGGTGATAATCAGATGTGGTGATAATCAGATGAGGTGATAATCAGATGAGGTGATAATCAGATGAGGTGATAATCAGATGTGGATCCACATGGGCCGCCTCAAAGGGGATCGTGAGCAGCGTTGACTTGCCGCTCCCTGGCGAACCCAGCAGCAGCGTCGTCCTGTGAATGAGGGGGTTCAGGTGGTGGGGTGATGCTTTCCAGCTGAGCAACAGACAGCGCCATTCAATCTGGAGGCAGCGTCTTCCTGTGAATGAGGGGGCAGCGTCAGTCAACAGGCAGCGCCGATCCTTCACCAGCCAGGGCTCCGTCCAGCATCAGCCACGCTGGGAATGGAATGCCCGTACCTGCCAGGCTGGGAATGGAATGCCCATACCTGCCAGGCTGGGAATGGAATGCCCGTACCTGGCAGGCTTGAGGATGCCAGAGCAGGCATCAAGCGCGAAGAAGAGGCGGCGCTGGTCGTTGAGTAGGCGCAGACCCCTCAGCAGCGCGCCTGCGTGGTTGGGCAGCTGGTTGGGCAGCTGGTTGGGCAGCTGGTTGGGCAGCGTGGGCACGCCCCTCGCGCCCACTCGCACCTTGGCGCACGCGCTCACCCCCTCAAAGCGCACCTCCACTCCGGGGAACGCCACTCCCACGCTGTGAGGGTTAGGGTGGGAGATGGGGGGAACAGAAAGGGCGAATGGGCAAGCCTTTCTCTCCCAATTGCGCCTTTGCATTCCGCAACAGGTTCGCCCGGGGTGGATGCAGTCCACGGGTGACCCCTCAAAGCACACCTCTGCTCCGAGGAATGACACTCCCTCATTGGGAAATAACGGGACGGGAGGCGGAGGAGGAAGGGAGGGAGGTTGGGGTGGGAGATGGGGAGAATGGAAGGGGTAGATGCGCAGACCTCTTGCCCCACTCACGCTGTCAACCGCACCTCCACTTGCGCCAAGACACTTTGACGCTGGGGAAGAACGGCAGGTGGGGGGGAAGGGGGAGGGAGAAGGCTTGGGGTGGGAGACGGGCCACGGGCAGAAGCGCTAAGGGCAGTCGTCACCTCGTCTTCTCTGTGAACTCCTCGCCGTCCAGCTCAGTGAGCACAGCATTCATTCTGAGGCGTCTGGAAGTGAATGTATAGATATGCATGCAACTGGCCCGAGAGTGGCACCTGTCCAGGCGTCGCCTCATCTTCTCCAGAAACTCCACCTCACCATGACCCGCCCATCCCAAGATGTCCGGGGTCCACGTGGCAGGTTCTTTGCATTGCCTGCAGGTGACACGTTTTTGTTCGCGATTCGAGAATCCTACCGTTGGCTCCATGATACGAGTGCGATGTTTATCGGTTGGTTCCAACTTACGGCTGTGTTATGCGAATTGGGGCTTCGACAGTCACTTGTCAAGCAGCAGCCTGCGTGACCACGGCTTTCAACACTGAACGGGTCGACGAGGGATTCCTTCTCGCCCGCGATAGCAGGGGCGCATTGGCGCGAGAGGGCCCGCCCGATGCCCTCGCTACCGTCACAAGAACGCGAGGCCCACTCGCCCGCCCCTAGCGCGAAAGCGGATGGCTGCCCCTTGGGCCCCTTCGCCCCTGCCCAACGCCAAGCCGGAACCGCCCATGATGGAGGGGCACCAGTGGTGACGCGGCTAGGTGAATCTGGCTGACTCAGTAAGACGGAATGGCAGTAGTAGGTTCCCGAGTTGAACGCCATGGAAGGTTCCCCACACTATCATGCCATTTTGGGGCATTGGTCCTGGCGGATGGGGACCAGCCCACTTTCGACAGCATTGATTTGGGAAGCCAGACGACTGCCTTGTACGAGCACGACACGGGTGACTTCGTTCCGTACGCAATCTGAAGCGGCAACAGTGACGTACGGTATCTCAAAGCAGCCATTGATTTTGACAGCGAGTGCGGGTCACCCGCCCTGACAACACCTTGTCAGTCGGCTCCAGCATGCGGCCGCTGACGCAGCTCGGTGTGGGTTTGGTCACCAGAGTTTGCTACCCTCGCAAGGCGTCGCGAAGTCAGCTCCCATCCCAACTCGCGAAACGGAAATTGGTGTAAGCGAAATTTTGTGCTTTCGTGTCTGCGAAATCAGATCACAACTCGCTACACGCGAGTGTTACGGAAGAAAAGTCAAATCATAATGGTCTATGACCCAAGCCATAATGGTCTATGATGCACACCAAGGTAACATATTTTGTTTACAGTATTGAACAGGTAATCTGTCTGAACGTGCTAACCATTTTACCCTGGGCAGGGGCAAACTACTGATCCCTAGAGGTGTGCAAGAGGAAAAAAACAAGGTTGCGTTGCATTGCTTGCAAGCCCCCACCATACACGAGAGAATAAACCTTAGTTAACAATGGTACAGCTACAGTGTGGAGTGAGTGGGGCCCTAGAGAGGCACGGCCTCGAAGAGGCGTGAGAAGTAAAACTTGGTGCCGGTCATTTCCTTCTTCACCACCCTCCAGCCCGCTTTCTGCCAGTCCAACACACGACAGGTGGGAAGGAAGCAAATCAGCACATAGCAACACACAGGTGGGAGGAAGTGGCAGGTCCAGCATTAGCAGGCAGGGTAGCGATGAGGAGGAGAGCACAAGAGCTGTGGTGCAGCGTTGCATCTCCAGTGGGATGATGGCGGTGGAGGCGGCAGTTGGAGGAGAACGAGCATAGGCGTGTGGCACCTGGATGGCCATGCTTGCTTGAGGAAAGTAATAGGGCATGGTACTGGAGCATGGCAGTGGAGCGTGGTGCTGGAGTGAGTGAGTGAGTGAATGAGTGAGTGAATGAATGAGCGAATGAACGAGTGAGTGAATGAGTGAGTGAATGAGCGAGTGAATGAATGAGCGAATGAATGAGCGAGTGAGTGAATGAGTGAGTGAATGAATGAGTGATTGAACGAGTGAATGAGTGAGTGAATGAGTGACTGAGTGAACGAGTGACTGAATGAGTGAGTGCGTGAACGAGTGAGTGCGTGAATGAGTGAGTGAGTGAGTGAATGATTGAGTGAGTGAATGAGTGAGTGTGTGATTGAGTGAATGAGTGAGTGCGGGAATAAGTGAGTGAGTGAATGAGTGAGTGAGTGAATGACAGAGTGAGTGAATGAGCGAGTGAATTTTGTGGGTGAGTGAGTGAATGAGTGGGTGAGGGAACTGACCTTGAGGGCGCCCTCCACCTCCTCCTCCGAGTGCAGGTAGGCGCGGGTGGCCTTGGACGGGCCGGGGAACAGCTCGCCCACGCGCTGCACAGTAGGGCGCAGCCATAGGCATGGGGGGCAGGACGGAGAGGTGTGAGGGGGAAGACAATGGGGTGTGTGGTGTGGTGTGGTGTGGTGTGGCGGAGTGGGGTGTGGTGTGGTGTGTTGTGTTGTGGTCTGGTGTGTTGTGTTGTGTTGTGGTGTGGTGTGGTGTGTTGTGTTGTGGTGTGGTGTGTTGTGGTGTGGTGTGGACATGGCTTAATGGTGGATGGAGAGTGGAGGGACAGAAGTGGAGCACAGCACACACAAAAGGGATGACACGGGCTGCAGCAGCGCGAGTGTAAATCCATGCGGCAAGCGAGCATGAGACGAGAGGAGCAGCGAGTGCAAGCAGATTGTAGGGCTGTGGGCACCTTGAGGAAGGCGTAGTAGGGCGTGTAAGGGGCGAAGCTGAGGATGACTCTGTCCGTGGCCAGCGAGGCGAGGTGGGCGATCATGGCGTCTGACTTGTCCTGTGGGTAGTGGATCAGCACGTCCAGACACGTCACTGCCACGGGAGGGAGGGGGCGGGGGGAGGAAGGAGAAGGATGGGGCAGAACGGGGGAGAGGGACATTTTGAGAAAATACTTTATAGGCAGCATATTAGCACGTTCAGAGACGTCTCTGCAGGAGGGGATGGGCAGGGAAGATGTGGAGAGCGAGAATTTGAGACATGTGACTGACTTTGAGGCATGCACCACCAGGGTGGTCGAGGGGAGGTCCAGCGGGGAACGGTGAGAGATGCAGGATAGCGGAGAAGGGAAGAGGCGAGAGGGCAGAAGGGAAGAGGCGAGAGGGCAGAAGAGAAGAGGCGAGAGGGCAGAAGAGAAGAGGCGAGAGGGCAGAAGAGAAGAGGCGAGAGGGCAGAAGAGAAGAGGCGAGAGGGCAGAAGAGAAGAGGCGAGAGGGCAGAAGAGAAGAGGCGAGAGGGCAGAAGAGAAGAGGCGAGAGGGCAGAAGAGAAGAGGCGAGAGGGCAGAAGAGAAGAGGCGAGAGGGCAGAAGAGAAGAGGCGAGAGGGCAGAAGAGAAGAGGCGAGAGGGCAGAAGAGAAGAGGCGAGAGGGCAGAAGAGAAGAGGCGAGAGGGCAGAAGAGAAGAGGCGAGAGGGCAGAAGAGAAGAGGCGAGAGGGCAGAAGAGAAGAGGCGAGAGGGCAGAAGAGAAGAGGCGAGAGGGCAGAAGAGAAGAGGCGAGAGGGCAGAAGAGAAGAGGCGAGAGGGCAGAAGAGAAGAGGCGAGAGGGCAGAAGAGAAGAGGCGAGAGGGCAGAAGAGAAGAGGCGAGAGGGCAGAAGAGAAGAGGCGAGAGGGCAGAAGAGAAGAGGCGAGAGGGCAGAAGAGAAGAGGCGAGAGGGCAGAAGAGAAGAGGCGAGAGGGCAGAAGAGAAGAGGCGAGAGGGCAGAAGAGAAGAGGCGAGAGGGCAGAAGAGAAGAGGCGAGAGGGCAGAAGAGAAGAGGCGAGAGGGCAGAAGAGAAGAGGCGAGAGGGCAGAAGAGAAGAGGCGAGAGGGCAGAAGAGAAGAGGCGAGAGGGCAGAAGAGAAGAGGCGAGAGGGCAGAAGAGAAGAGGCGAGAGGGCAGAAGAGAAGAGGCGAGAGGGCAGAAGAGAAGAGGCGAGAGGGCAGAAGAGAAGAGGCGAGAGGGCAGAAGAGAAGAGGCGAGAGGGCAGAAGAGAAGAGGCGAGAGGGCAGAAGAGAAGAGGCGAGAGGGCAGAAGAGAAGAGGCGAGAGGGCAGAAGAGAAGAGGCGAGAGGGCAGAAGAGAAGAGGCGAGAGGGCAGAAGAGAAGAGGCGAGAGGGCAGAAGAGAAGAGGCGAGAGGGCAGAAGAGAAGAGGCGAGAGGGCAGAAGAGAAGAGGCGAGAGGGCAGAAGAGAAGAGGCGAGAGGGCAGAAGAGAAGAGGCGAGAGGGCAGAAGAGAAGAGGCGAGAGGGCAGAAGAGAAGAGGCGAGAGGGCAGAAGAGAAGAGGCGAGAGGGCAGAAGAGAAGAGGCGAGAGGGCAGAAGAGAAGAGGCGAGAGGGCAGAAGAGAAGAGGCGAGAGGGCAGAAGAGAAGAGAGAAGAGGGAAGAGAGAAGAGGAGAGAGAAGAGAAGAGAGAAGAGAAGAGAAGAGAGAAGAGAGAAGAGAGAAGAGAGAAGAGAGAAGAGAGAAGAGAGAAGAGAGAAGAGAGAAGAGAGAAGAGAGAAGAGAGAAGAGAGAAGAGAGAAGAGAGAAGAGAGAAGAGAGAAGAGAGAAGAGAGAAGAGAGAGAAGAGAGAAGAGAGAAGAGAGAAGAGAGAAGAGAGAAGAGAGAAGAGAGAAGAGAGAAGAGAGAAGAGAGAAGAGAGAAGAGAGAAGAGAGAAGAGAGAAGAGAGAAGAGAGAAGAGAGAAGAGAGAAGAGAGAAGAGAGAAGAGAGAAGAGAGAAGAGAGAAGAGAGAAGAGAGAAGAGAGAAGAGAAGAGAAGAGAAGAGAAGAGAAGAGAAGAGAAGAGAAGAGATGAGATGAGATGAGATGAGATGAGATGCCCGAGAGCACCTCCGGTCCCCTGTGACCCTTCCCTCAGGTCTGCATGCAGCCCTGCCCGCGGGGTTGATTGCCCAGTGTCGTGTATCCTGTGGCATGCCACATGGGCATCCCCTTCCGCCTACACTGCTGCACTACACGGCCCTGCTGCTGCACTGCTGCCTTGTGGCATCACCCTTTCGTCTCCCCCCATTTCTAACCAGTGTGGTCTTTCCTGCATTGTCGTACCAGTGTGCTCTTTCATTTCCTTGAAAGGTGCCATCTCCTCCATTCTCTTACCAGTGGTGCGTCCTCGATGTTCTTTCCAGTGTGACGTTTCCTCTAATGCCTCGCCAGTGGTGCTTATTCTCTTGTGTGCTCACCAGTGTGGTATTGCCCGTCGATGGACTCCAGGTCCTTGGCCTCGAACACCGGCATCACCAGCTGCTTCGCCGTCTTCGCTTCTGCCAGCGCCACCTTGGCCCTCTCCGCGCCCTCTCCCGCCTGCACCCCCGCCACCGCAAAAGAAACACACGCCAATGTGATGCACGGCCACGCAGAGCAGAGCAGGGCAAGGCGAGACAGGGCACGCCGGGGGGGACAGACATGGGAAGAAGGGTGAATAGGGTTGTGAGAAACAGTGGGGCCTGCCTGGTTCGCAGAGCGCTCAGAGGAGCGAGAAGGGAAGAGAGGCAAGAAGTGGCGGAGAGAAGAGGGACGAGGTGAGGGGAGTGGATGTGAGAGCCGTGATAGTCCAGGTTTGAGACAGGTGACATCAGTTTAGGTGGGTAGGTGGCACAGCATGCAGGTGAGAGGCAGATGATGCCTGTGCATGGGCTGTAGCCCGGATGGGAATGGCATCGCGTGGCAGCAGACATGGCAGATGGGAATGCATGGCATGGCAACACTTGGGAGTGGACGTGGACGTTTCCTATGGTGGCGGCACCAGGGAATGCCAACCGTGGCGGCGCAAGGGAATGGGTTGCGTACCATGGCGGCACAAGGGAATGGGTTGCGTACCATGGCGGCAGAGATATCACTGGCGTACACTGTGGCTCCCTCCAGCGCCAGAGGGATGGACAGGCTGTAAGGGGGGGAGATGGGAGTGGGGGGAGATGGAGTGGGGGGAGATGGAGTGGGGGGAGATGGAGTGGGGGGAGATGGAGTGGGGGGAGATGGAGTGGGGGGAGATGGAGTGGGGGGAGATGGAGTGGGGGGAGATGGAGTGGGAGGAGATGGAGTGAGGGGAGATGGAGTGGGGGGGAGATGGAGTGGGGGGAGATGGAGTGGGGGGAGATGGAGTGGGGGGAGATGGAGTGGGGGGAGATGGAGTTGGGGGAGATGGAGTGGGGGGAGATGGAGTGGGGGGAGATGGAGTGGGGGGAGATGGAGTGGGGGGAGATGGAGTGGGGGGAGATTGAGTGGGGGGAGATTGAGTGGGGGGAGATGGAGTGGGGGGAGATTGAGTGGGGGGGAGAGACGGGATGGGGGCGAGGCTAGGGGATGCACGGGTACGTTGATGTGGGGCGGCGGCGCATGCGTGCACCACACGCATCCGCTTCAGTGGGCTTCTGAAAGCGGCACCACATGCACCAGCAGCAGCAGCAGCAGACATTCCGGACTGTCTCTAGCACCCGCATGAACCAAGCTTCAAGGGCGAGCGCGGGTAAGGGGCGAACGAGGGGTAGGGGGTGAAGGTAAGGGGCGAACGAGGGTAAAGGGCGAGCAAGGGTAAGTGGTGGGTGGGGGCCGGGGAGAAGGAGGAGCGGTGCTTGCCTGCCGGTGCCGCATCCCGCATCGCACACCGTGACGCCGTCCAGCGAGCCCTCCTCCCTCAACCACCTCAGCACCTGCCGTCACGCGCAGTGTCCAGCACAGTACAGTGTGCACTGAGTGTTTCGTATGGTGAACTCCAATATGTGGTCATGTACAGGTGAATCCACTCATACTACGCAAGGAAGTTTGCACTCCAACGTTGCTCAGCAGGTACGGCGTGAAGGTCAGATTATAAGGCGGCTGACTAGAAGCCTGATCAGTGCTCACCTTTTCGACGGTCTGCGCGTGGCCTTGACGGATGTCCAGCTGCAGGTAGAGGGGGCGGGGGCACGTGGAAGGCACGTCATGCGGTGAGAAGAGCACGAGAGGCAGCGCGCACCCCGACAGGCGATGCAGGTGCGTAGGTGGGGTCGCTATCTACCGTGGCCTGGCAGGCCGTTCGATTCATGAACGGCACTGGTTCATCACGAAGGAGAAATGCAAACGATGCAGGTTCAACACACTCTTTCATGCCCCCGTTCCTCCGTTCCTCTCCCTCCTTCTCCCCCCACCACCACCCCCCTTCCCCCATCCCCCTTTTCCCCTTCCCTCTCTTCCCACCCCTCCTCCGCCTGTAACCCTTCCCCACTGATCTTCGTGGCACGAGTCGCGCCAGCACGGCTCACCTGCACGGAGTTGACGTCGTCTGTCTCGCCGTAGATGCGGCGCCACCTGTCGTACCCCGCCGTGTTGAAGTAGTTGCGCACCTGCCGCGTCAGCGAGCACCACACGAAATAACGCGTCAATCGACAGCACGCGTGGGAAGGACCGACGAAGCATCGAACGGTGACCGAGACAGGCGGAGAGAAGCCGGACTGAATTGAAAGGGCTCAATTCGCGTCAAATGTGGCACGATAACATACGCCGAGCATGAGCCAAGTGCTAAGAAAGCGTGCGAGATCGGGTGAGGGCGGTGAGCGGCCCTACCGCATCCATCTCGTTGCCGCCCACTTCCTCCGCTTGCTGCTGTCGCCTGCGCGCACACGCATGCGGGAGATAGGACAATTGGTGTCACGACGAGAGAAGCGCACGCGATTTTTTGGCAAGTAGACTAAGAAACGGAAGGGCAGAAAGCGTGCGTATCCAGAAGTTTCTATTCTCTAGCAGTACTAGCGCAGGCACTTTAAGGCACATCCGAACTGGGCCCTTTGCGACGAGCAGAGTGAGGGGGCGCGCAATCACCTCTTCTCCGGGTCGGCGAGGGAGAGCACCGTCGCGAGTGCCGCGAGCGCACCGCCGCCCGCAACAGCAATGCCCACTGACCCGCTGTCATCTGCACGCAGGCGAGCCGAACCACGTGGAACGAAGTGGAGAGACGGGTAACGACGGGAAACAAGCGGGAAAATTGTTAGCCGCCTTGCGTGGAACAGCAACGCATTGAATCCCGCTGAGTCAGATAAAGCAAATGGAAAGCTGAAGCCGCAGCAGGGCGCAACGCTACAAGCGGCGCTGCGCGCACTGACCGAGAAGCGCGCGTGCGGGCGCGACGGGTTTGGGAGCCGCGATGGAGACGCGCGCGGCTGTTGCGCCACCCGCGCTCAGACGTTGACCCGTGAAGGCCGTCTGTAGGCTAACGCACGCGGCTTGCTGGAGGGCGGCCATTATGAATTCGACGTCGACGTGTGGATCAGCGTGCTCACGGAATGCGCGTTGGTGGTTGAGCGTTGAGCACAGGCACAGACGCAACAACAGCCGAAGTCGAGCTCCCGAACCTTCAACGACAGTAATGGCGAGGCAACTACTGCAATGCTGGCTTTCACTGCTTACTATGCTGCGTCCTGCGGTGATGGGAACGCGAATTTCGATGGCACTGGGATTGCACTGTTCCAGTTTGGATGGGGCTTGGGGGCGAGAAGGCTGGACAGGTGGTCAACGTGGCGCGCGTAGAGAGTTGCGAGGGGCTTCTTTGTGCCACGGTGTTGCTACATGGTTGGTCGCTAGATTGTCATTCTTGGGTTCTTGAGAAAGTGGTCAGGGCGGATTTGTACTCGATTGCGGTAAGAACCAGAAATAGATTGAGCGCTACATCAGGCTAAATTTACACTTGTCACAAAAATGCTGGCAGCAATTATTTTCCGTTAATTAGTTTTTACTTTTGCCCGGTGGCTTTCCACCCAACCTCGACTCACAAATTTTGCCACAAGCAGTTACCACCCCACCTCGATTGGTTCGTCTGGTTACACGGGCATCGCGTTTTCGTGAACCGTCTACTCTTCGCCTCCCACCTGCTCCCCTTCTGCCACCCTCGTCGCCCCTCCTACCCCTCCCTCCTCCGCGCTCCCGCATTGTTATGCCCTAGACTCTTCTACCTTCCCTCCTTTTCGCCTTGGCCCCCTGCCCTGCGCCTAGTGCCCTGGAATCGTTTCCTTCCCCTGTCCCTTAGCCTACCAGGTGTCGCACACGTCCCGCCGCGCCGGATCGCAAGCATGGCGACAGAAGCCGTGATGGTCGCAGAGTCGCCCGCTGGGGCATCCAACGAGGTCAAGCTCTTCGGCAAGTGGTCCTTCGCAGCGGAGGAGATCACGGTACGCGCTATAAGCTGCCCCGCGAAGGTCGCTGTCACCATGGTCGCTCATCGAATCGCTGGCTCGGCATCATTGCAGCAGTGTGAGGGCACGATAGTCCTTACAGTGGTACCGGAGCGCGTAGCTTTAGCTTCTAGCCGGTAGGCAAACCACTTCAAATTGTCGTCTCTCGTGCGGCGTCGGCGACGTCGCGTTTCTCGCACCCAGCAGCGGTGGGCGTCTCTCGTGGTTAACCGTCAGCAGCGCGCGTGGTTCGTAGTCGACAATCGCATTCGTCAATTCTCCGTGATCGCATTATATCGGATTTCGTTAACCCCCGTAGCCCTTTCGATGCTGCCTTTCTGCTCCGCCGTTCGTGCTTTGGCCAGGAGGGTTAGTCGCACGCACAGGTCTGGCAAACAAGGGTTGCCACCGAGGATTAGTTGCAAAGGCAGGTTTGGGGAGACATGTTTGGCAAACGCGGGTTAGTCACAGGGCAGATTTTGCAAGCGAGGGATAAGTCGTGACGGAGCTTCGTTAGGGCGTGGCGCGGATGTGGGGGTGCAGAGCAGCGCGTGATTGGACTGGGCAGGCACTGGAAACCGACTGGCAGCCAAGTTGGCCTTCCGCAAGTACCGTGCATTCATTCCTCGAGCCGTGTTGACTTTCCCGTGCAATTGAGCTGTTGGTTTGGACATCGGCTTTTAGGGTTTGTGTTGCGAGTGCCGCTTGTTGCAACATGCAGCGTGATCGGATATCGATTAATGCTTCCCGCCAGTCGGCGTGCTTACTCTGCGGGATGCGAGAGCGGGGCGCGCATGAGAACGTGGTAGCCGCATCAGCGATAGATCGTGCACGTTGGACGAGCCGATCGTGCGATCTGAGCGCGTGGCGGACTTGATTAGGTTGCCGTGCTACGTCGTTATGGCGTCGCCTTTAGTCCTGCTCGAATCTGGGTTCAACTTGTTCACTGCGCGGCGATCCGCGCGCATTGCCTCATACTCTCTGCGCGCCTCGTCTCTCCCCATGTTCTTCAACGTCCCCTTTCTCTCCATACTCTTCCCCCCTCCTGTCTCGTTCTGTCTCCCTTTACGCCCCCCAACCGGCAGGTGAACGACTTGTCGCTTGCCGACTACATCGCCGTCAAGCACGCCATCACCGTGCCGCACACTGCCGGCCGTTACTCAGCCAAGCGCTTCCGCAAGGCGAACTGCCCGATCATTGAGCGGTGAGTGCAGCGGTTCGTGGTGACGGCCGCGATGGGGCGAGGATGACGAGCACATCGATGAGGATGACGAGCACGTCGATGAGGATGACGAGCACATCGATGAGGATGACGAGCACATCGATGAGGATGACGAGCACATCGATGAGGATGACGAGCACATCGATGAGGATGACGAGCACGTCGATGAGGATGACGAGCACATCGATGAGGATGACGAGCACATCGATGAGGATGACGAGCACGTCGATGAGGATGACGAGCACATCGATGAGGATGACGAGCACATCGATGAGGATGACGAGCACATCGATGAGGATGACGAACACATCGATGAGGATGACGAGCACGTCGATGAGGATGCTCCGCGCAGCCCGGGGCCGGGCTGGGTGGCGTTCCGCCCGACGCCCTGAGACCCTTGTCACACCCTGCCCTCCCAACCCCCTCTCGGCTCGTGCTCACGCACACGCGCTCTTGCGATAGAGCAGAGCTCGCGCCCTTGGTCCCTCACACGCCGTCTTGCCCTCTGTCCTTCCTTGCCCTTCGTCCTCAACCCCTCGGCCTTGGCCCTCCCTCCCTCCCTCCTCCCTCCATCTTCCCTCTCGCTTCCTGGCCCCGCTGTCCCGTCCCCGTCCCCCTTCCGCCGCCCGGCCCGCGTGCTTGCGTTCTGTGCGGAGCAGGCTGACGAACAGTCTGATGACGAGCGGGCGCAACAACGGCAAGAAGCTCAGTGCCATTCCTTGCCTTTCATCCTTTCCCCCATTCGCCCTTCCCCCTTCTCTTGTCCCTTCCTCCGTCTCCCGTCCCGCTTTCCTTCCGCTTCCGTTCCGCCGTTGCGCAGGCTGACGAACAGTCTGATGATGCACGGGCGCAACAACGGCAAGAAGATGATGGCGGTGCGCATCGTGCAGCACGCCATGGAGATCATCCACCTGCTCACCGACCAGAACCCCATCCAAGTCATCGTCGACGCCATCGTCAACAGGTAACAACCACCCCCACCTTCCGCCTTCCCTTCCCTTTCACTCCCCTCCCTCTCACTCCCCTCCTTGCTCCCTTCCTTCTTACTCCCCTCCCTCTTTCTTCCCTCAAGCGGTCCTTTCATTGATATAGGCGGCAGTACACAGGCATCGTGACCGGCATAAGAAAATACTAACCAGAAAAAGTCTACTCCCTCTTGACCACCTCCATCTCACACCCCTCCCTCTCTCACATCCCTCCCTCTTCCACCCCTCCCGCTTGCTCCCCTCACTCTCACACCCCTCCCTCTTGCTCCCCTCCCTCTCACTCCTCTTCCTCTTGCTCCCTTCCCTCGCACTACCCTCCCTCGCATTCCCATCGCTCATTCCTCTCACTCACACGCCAACCCTCTGTCCGCATAACCCCCCTCCCCCTCGCGCCAACAGCGGGCCGCGCGAGGACGCGACGAGGATCGGGTCGGCGGGAGTCATTCGGCGCCAGGCCGTCGACATCTCGCCGCTGCGACGAGTCAACCAGGTACGCGCGGACCGCCGAGTCAACCAGGGACGCGCGGACCGACGAGTCAACCAGGGACGCGTGGGCCGTGCGCGCGGCCGTGCAACTATGACTATGCATGCAGGCCGTGCAACTATGACTATGCATGCAGGCACGCAAACATGCGCAGTTTCTCACGGGCCAGCGCGCCATGGCGTGCCGCCACATGTGCGCGAATGGGCGCTCAGCTCGCCCATCCTCTGCCCTCCACCGCCGATGGTTTCCCGCTTTTGCGCAACCACGCGCGTCGCGTGCACCAAGCAGCAGCATGAGCTGCTGCAGTGCTCCCTGCCACCGCTTTTTGTGTGATCCTTCCGGCACCTCTTTCCTCGTGCGTCACGAGTGATCCTCATTCTTCACACTCCCCACCCACCCGCCCCTTTATGTGCCGCCCTTCCCTCCTCATCCTTCCCCCGTTCCCCCGCGCGTAGGCCATCGCGCTGCTGACGACGGGCGCGCGCGAGGCGTCGTTCCGCAACGTGAAGACGATCGCGGAGTGCCTGGCGGACGAGCTCATCAACGCCGCCAAGGGCAGCTCCAACAGGTGCGTTGTGGCACTCGGGCTTTAAGGGCAGCTCCAACAGGTGCGTTGTGGCACTCGGGCTTTAAGGGCATCTCCAACAGGTGAGGCAGTCGGGCTTCAAAGGCAGCTCCAACAGGTGAGGCTCTGGCTTTAAGGGCAGCTCTAACAGGTGAGGCGCCCCCCTGAACTTGAAGGGCAGGTGTGTTGACAGGTGTGTTGACGCTCCCCATGGGCTTTAAGGCAGCTCCAACAGGTGAGCTGCTCACCTGCGACAGCGGGCATGGTGGGCACAAGGTGGGCAGTGGTGGCAGTGAGCAGCTGTGCTCGCAGTAACATGAGCCAGTGGCCACGCTGTGATGGTTGGTGCCTTGCTGAGTGGTGGAGTCAGGAAGGTGCCCTTTTTTGGCTTGGACCTGCTCCTACAAAGGTGCCATGCTGTGAGCATCATTAGCACCACACATGTACTATGTCTGCATGTGCCTGTTGTTGGACCTAATTAAAGCAGCTGAGGAAGCTATCGGAGCTTCTTCAGAGCCCCTTTCCTAATCTTCTCTCCCAGAGTTCTTACACATTCTCTCAAAACCTTTAAAACTGTCTCTCGTCCTTGTTGCCTGGCAGCTACGCCATCAAGAAGAAGGATGAGATTGAGCGTGTTGCCAAGGCCAATCGTTAAGCATTGCTACTTGCAGTCTGCGCTGCAACTCTTCAAGCTCCCACCAGTGGTCTCTTCGCCTACAGCTGCTGTGCTCCATAGTATTAAAGAGAATCTTCAGGAACGCATAGATAAGCCATATGAAAGCTGTGTCTGATATTGTGAATGAAGGGGAATTTCCTGGTGGTCAAACTGGGAACATGAGCTAAAGACAGGCAGGAAACGAGGTCTCTACTGGATGAAAGTACTTGCGAGGTGTAGCAAGTTTGCACAGATGACGGTCGGTCTCTGACGGTTACGTTGGAGAGTTGACGTTCTGGTTGAGTAGCCTTGCCTGGCTGGGTTGGGCAGGAGGGATGGGACAGATGGAGGGAGGGAGAACCAATCAACCAGCAGCCGGACAGAGAAACGAACAAGCGGCGCCACTGTCTTGAAGGGAAAGTGCATGTTGACTATCTCAACATGAGGTTTGAAAATGTAAGATCAATTTACCACCGTACTGAACCTACGCAAAGTGACTTTGCGAACTACAGAGCCGCTTCCAACTCCCATTGCAACAGCGGCGTGATCCGCGTCAACATGCAAAACACAGATCGCGTCAAACAGCAAACATAGGCGATCAACATGCAAAACACGCTCGTGATCGCTCTTTTTTTTCCGCGAGGCTCTCCAGGTCGTCGTTGACTAGGGTTTCGGAAGTGGAGGCTTTTCCACGACACTGCTGCCCCAACATGCACAATTTTCTGCACTCTGCTGCAGTCAGCGTTCGGTCAGACCTGGCGAGGTGTTCGGTCACGACACTACGAGGTTTCTAAAGCCGAGGCAAGGTTGCAGTGACGTCGTCACCGTACATCAGTGGTCCGTTCAGACCTCTGGTTTGAGGTTCGGCATGTCCTGCGAAGGAATTCTTCTGGTCTGGTCGTCGAGTCTTCCCCCAACGACCCCCGTCCCACCGTGGCCGAGCCACGCAGTCGCCTCGCTAGTCTCGGTGTGTCCGACCGCACCTCGACAACCGTTGGTTTGGTCACAGCAGTCCTCGTGGCAACGCATCACAACCTGCTGCTTGGTCGTCGAGGTGTAAAAGCAGTTGCAAAAGGCCATCCCCTCGCTCCGCCCTTCTGTGTCCTGCACATTCTGCTATGCCTCGTTATCACTGGAGCATGCTGCAGCCGCGCTGCGACCCTTCCTCCCTTATTGCTATCTTAGCGGAGTGTGTACGATCCGTAAGTAGTGGAGACCAGTACTACATTACTATTTTTCGCAGGTTTCATTTAACTAGCTGCCGTCTTAATTGTTAATACTGAAACCACTCAACGGTTAGATGAGGAGAAGCGTTGTGATTTGAGTACAATTTACCATACGCGTATCTCCGCTTAGCGAAGCGCTCTTTGCCTGGTCGTGCCCACGCTGATCCGCGCATCGGCTCGCTCGAAGGCTTCTTTCGTGAGTGCCGCTTCGGCGATCTCGTTCACACACGCATGCGACAATGCGCCGCGTTACACAGACGACAGGGTGATTCATGCTAATTTAGATCGGTCGGGAGATATATTAAGATCCCCATATAGACGGCGCGGGCCGCTGCGATGGCTGCAGAAGGCGATGCATCGCCGCGTCAGCCGCCACATGTGAATGGGTCGGGACGAAACGGGTCAGAGGGGAGCGGATCCGCGGAAGAGGCGCCACTCGATTCGCAGGCGTTAGAGCGGGAAGAGAAGCAAGTGTCGGGTGACAAAGCGGACACGCAAGGTTCAGGGGAAGCCGTGAAGGCAGCAGAGCGGGCAGAGCGGGGAGCAGGTGACGCTGCAGTGCGGACGGACAGTCACGGCCAGCGGCCGACGGAGGCTGCTGCTGCTGGAGCTGGCGATGCGCACGCGGCTTCTGAGTCGCCCCGAAAGGCCGCTGCTGGCGATGCTCAGGCAGCAATCGAGTCGCCTCGAAAGTCCGGTAGTGCTGTCGCTGGCGCTGGTCAGGCGGTGCCTCGTGGCGGCGACGCCACGGTCATTGCTGAAGCAGACGGTGCGGCGGGCGGCCAGGGGATTACCGCCGATGCTGTCATGTCGCAGGTGAGCAGCCGTCGCAAGTGAGCAGCCGTCGCAGGTGAGCAGCCGTCGCAGGCGAGCAGCCGTCGCAGGTGGGCAGCCGTCGCAGGTGAGCAGCCGTCGCAGGTGAGCAGCCGTTGCAGGTGAGCAGCCGTCGCAGGCGAGCAGCCGTCGCAGGCGAGCAGCCGTCGCAGGCGAGCAGCCGTCGCAGGCGAGCAGCCGTCGCAGGCGAGCAGCCGTCGCAGGCGAGCAGCCGTCGCAGGCGAGCAGCCGTCGCAGGTCGCCAAGCCACCGTCGTAGCTCCCAATCTGCCCCGCTAACACTCCAAGCAGTCTTTTTTTAGTTGCCTTTGATTTTGTCAAAATCATGCTGTGAACTTCACTGCTTCCTATTGTGCTGTAATGCAGTGTACTGCACTTTACAGCACCGTACCGTACCTTACCATACCGCACTGCACTGCTACCTCGCTCGCAAGTGAAGGCTGCTCCGATCCAGAATCGCATCCTGTGGGCTGCCGCATACCCCCGGTGCGCACCCCTCTGCAACTTTCCTGCCCATTTCTCTCTGCATTTCGCCTCCCCTCCTGGCGAAATTTCCCCTCCCCTTCCCCCTCCCCCTCCCTCCCCCCCCCCCCCGGCGGTGCCCGCCTCCCCCAGCTGGCGGACATGCGGGGCATGATAGCGCGCCTCAGCCGCGAGAACGAGTCTCTGCGCGCCATAGTGGCGCTGCAGCTCTCCCCGCATGGGGGAAACGGCCCCTCCGCGCATGGGGGGAACGCCCCCTCCGCGCATGCGGGGAACGGCCCCTCCGCGCATGGGGGGAACGGCCCTTCCGCGCATGACAAGAACGCCCCCGTTGCGAGACAAGAGAATGCGGGAAAGGGGGGAGCAAGTGGCGAACACAGCGGGCGTGCAACGGCGGCCGCGGGTGGAGGGGAGGGCGAGAGGGCAGGGGGTGGCGGAACGAGCGCAGATAAAATCGCAGCAATGGCAACGGCGGGGGCGGGGGGGCTTAGTGCAGACGTGCTGGCGCGGATGATGGGCGCAGGTGCAGGGGGGGCGGGCGAGGAGGGCGCGGAGTGGGTGCGCGCACAGCAGATGCAGATGCTGGCGCTGCTGCCCTACCACGCCGCTGCTGCCCAGGTGAGCGCCGGGCGAGATAAAGGTGGGATGGGAGGGATGGGCGACGAGGAGGTGATGGGGAGGTGATGGGGAGGTGATGGGGAGGTGGTGGGGAGGTGGTGGGGAGGTGGTGGGGAGGTGATGGGGAGGTGGTGGGGAGGTGATGAGGAGGTGGTGGGGAGGTGATGAGGAGGTGATGGGGAGGTGGTGGGGAGGTGATGGGGAGGTGGTGGGGAGGTGGTGGGGAGGTGATGGGGAGGTGGTGGGGAGGTGGTGGGGAGGTGATGAGGAGGTGGTGGGGAGGTGATGAGGAGGTGGTGGGGAGGTGATGAGGAGGTGGTGGGGAGGTGATGAGGAGGTGGTGGGGAGGTGATGAGGAGGTGGTGGGGAGGTGATGAGGAGGTGGTGGGGAGGTGATGAGGAGGTGGTGGGGAGGTGATGAGGAGGTGGTGGGGAGGTGATGAGGAGGTGGTGGGGAGGTGATGAGGAGGTGGTGGGGAGGTGATGAGGAGGTGGTGGGGAGGTGATGAGGAGGTGGTGGGGAGGTGATGAGGAGGTGGTGGGGAGGTGATGAGGAGGTGGTGGGGAGGTGATGAGGAGGTGGTGGGGAGGTGATGAGGAGGTGTTGTTGGAGTTGTGGTTTCCGAGCACGGCCTTTCACACCCCCTCCCTCCGCTTTCGCCCCCATCATGTGCTGCTGCCCGTCGCCCCTTTCCTTTCTCCCTCGTCTTGCACAATGCAAACACCGCTGCCCTCCCCTCTTCCCTCCCACTCCCCCCCATCAGGCCATGTCTCGCTGGTCCGCCCTCTTCCCCGCCCTCCCCAACCCCTTCCCCTTCCCCTCCTTCCCCACTGCGCCACCCTCCTCCTCCGCCACACCACCTGCCGCGCCCATGATGCCTCCGCCCTCCCCGCCCCACCCCCACGCACCCATCGGGCCTGACAGGGGCAGCAAGGTGGGGAGGCCCGCCTCCCCCCTGCTGCCAGCGCGCTCCCACACCCCCCCTGCGCCCATGCGCGCGCAGCCCCGCCCGTCCGCCCACACGGCCAGCCAGAGGGGGTCGCTCTCCCCCCCCGACTCCGCCTCCCAGCAGCGCTGCAGCGTGGGCCGTCCGATCCGATCCGTGGGAATGGACCGCAGCGATTCAACGAGCGAGAGGGCGGACGAGGGGCTGCAGCAGCGGCGGCGGCGGCGGCGACGGCGGGGAGGAGATGAGGACGGGGACAGGGAAGGGGAAGCGGAGCAGAGAGGCGGGGGAGAGAGGCAGGTGAGGGACGCGAGGAGGGAAGGGGAGCTGGTAAGTGGGATGGGCAAGGGTAGTGAAGGCGGGGGCGCGGCAGGCGGGGTGGGGGCGAGCAGGATGGTTGGCAGTGCTGCAGTGGGTGGGCGGGGGGGTGGGCGGGGGGAAGAAGGAAGTGAGGAGGATAATCGGGATGAGTGTGCTGTGGAGTCGCGCGTGCTTGGTGCTGAGGGCAGCGCCGGTGCAGGGGAGCAGCAGGGTGAGGGCGTGGGTAGCAGGACGAGGGGCAGTGGGAAGGACGAGCAGGATGGGAATTTGGAAATGGGGGAGGCTGGGCTGGAAAGATTGATGGTTGAGCCAAGGGCGGTGGGAAGAGGAGAGGAGGAGGAGGAGGAGGAGGAGGAGGAGGAGGAGGAGGAGGAGGAGGAGGAGGAGGAGGAGGAGGAGGAGGAGGAGGAGGAGGAGGAGGAGGAGGAGGAGGAGGAGGGCGAGAGTGAGCAGAGCATGGGGGGTGAGAGGGCATGCAAGAGGCGGCGAGGGGAGGCGAGTAGAGGAGGCGAGGAGTGTGTGCGTGGTGTGGCGAGTGGGGGTGGAGTGGCGAGTGGGGGTGGAGTGGCAGTGGCAGATGCCATGGAGGTGAGTGAAGGGTGCAGAGAGCCGGAGGGAGAGTGGGGGCGGCAGAAGGAGCAGGAGATGGTGGGGGGAGGGGAGGGAGCAGACGAGGCAGGCAGGCAGGGGGGCGGAGAGGGCGGCAGCAGCAGTGGTGGTGTTGGTGCTGGAAACCGTGCCCTGCCAAGACGCCGCCTCTGCACTGCCGCCGCTCCACCCCCTCTCAAGTGCGATGATGGGAGGACGGGGGCAGAGGAGGGCATGAAGGGGGCACAGGAGGAAGTGAAGAGGGAGGCGGGGCGCAGCACAGATGGTGCAGAGGGTGTGCAGCGAGGGGTGGTGGCCCATGGTGCTGATGAGTCCAGGGGAAGCCGTGAGCGCACCTCTGACCCTGCCTCCCCGCCTGCTGCTCTCCCGCCTTCTGCTGCTCATGCCCCTCCTCCTCCTCCCACTGCTGCTTCTGCTGCTGATGCGTCTGCAACACCTGCGTTGCCGACATGCCAGGGTGACGAGCTGGGATCGGGACAGCAAGGTGGGGGAGAGCGCGTGAGCGATGCGCAAAGTGCCGAACCACAGGAGGGGGTGATGCAGGTGCAGCAGGTTGCAGGAGGAGCAGAGACAGCGAGGCCAGCAGGCAGCACAGGCGGAGTGGCAAGGGACGAGCAGGCAGCAGCAGCTGCAGTTGAAGCAGGAAACCGGTTGCAGGCGCAAGCAGGGCCAGGGGAGGAGCAGCAGCAAGGGATGCAAGCACAAGGGATGCAAGCACAAGGGTCGGCTGTGGTTGAACGAGGGGTGCTGGTGTTCCAGCATGAGTCTCAGGCCGATGAGCCTCATGCCCCTCCACCTGCTCTGGCTCTTCAGCTGCAGCCGCAAATTGTATTGCACCCGCAGCAGCAGCAGCAGCAGCAGCAGGAGGAGGAGGAGGAGGAGCAACAGCAGCAACAGCAGCAGCAACAGCAACAGCAACAGCAACAGCAACAGCAGCAGCAACAGCAGCAGCAACAGCAGCAGCAACAGCAACAGCAGCAGCAACAGCAGCAGCAACAGCAGCAGCAACAGCAACAGCAACAGCAACAGCAATTGCAGCAGCAACAGCAACAGCAATTGCAGCAGCAACAGCAACAGCAATTGCAGCAACAGCAGCAACAACAGCAAGAGCAGCAACAGGTGGCATGGCAGCAGCAGCAGCAAGCCCTTCGCTTCATCCCAGCGCATCTGCCCATCCTGCCAGACACTGCAGCCGCCCGCAAGGCTGCCCGCGTCGCCATCCGCGCTCGCTGCGATGCCGCCACCGTGCGTTTCCTCCTGGCCTCTCTTTCCCCTCCTCTCCCCCCCACTCCTCTCCTCTCCCCTCCTCCCCTCCTCTCCTCTCCTCTCCTCTCCGCTCCTCTCCTCTCTTCTCCTCTCCTCTCCGCTCCTCTCCTCTCTTCTCCTCTCCTCTCCACTCCTCTCCTCTCCTCTCCTCTCTTCTCTCTTCTCCTCTCCTCTCTGCTCGTCTCCACTCCTCTCCACTCCTCTCCTCTCCTCCCCTCTCCTTCTCTCTCCCCTCGCCTCGTGTCCTCTCCTCTCCATTCCTCTCCTCTCCTCTGTTTTCCACCCATCCCCTTACTGTCGTGCTCGATCCTTTCTTTTTTGTCTCAACTTTTCCTGCATCATCCTCCCTCCTCCTCGCAACTCCCCCCTACCCTCCCCCCCCACTCCCCCCCTCAGCTATCGGACGGGGGGCAGTGGCGCAAGTACGGGCAGAAGGTGTCCAAGGGCAACCCGTGTCCGCGCGCCTACTACCGCTGCACGGCCGCCCCGGCATGCCCGGTGCGCAAGCAGGTGCAGCGCTGTGCGGACGACATGGCGTTCCTCATCGTCACCTACGAGGGCACGCACTCACACGCGCTGGCCCCGCACGCCACCGCCATGGCCATGCTCACCTCCTCCGCCTCCGTGGTGTCCTCTGCCGGCGCGCATGCCCCCCTCGCCTCGCCCTCTCTCTTCGCCCCCTCCTCTGCCTCGTCCCCCGCTGCCTTCCCCACCCACCACGCGTTCCCTCCACCACCGTCGCTGATGGGAGCAGCAGGTGGGGCCGGAACACCAGGCAGCACCACTGCCCACACGCCCACCGCTGCAGCTGCAGCGGGTGCATTCCCCATGGACCCGTCTCTGCTGGCGTCGCCGCTTGCCACGCCCACTCTGGCCGGCACGCCCTCGTCGCCCTTTGTGACGGCCACGGCTGCCCTGCCCACCGTCACGCTCGACCTCTCCACCTTCCCCCCCCACCACCTGGCCCAGCTAGGCCTGGGGGTGAGTGCAGGAGGGGGGGGCACAGGGGGTGGGATGGGGGGGGGAATGAGCAATCCTGTGCCTGGCACTGCTGCTGGCGCTGCTCTCACTGGCTCGTCACCACCGCTTGCTCTGCCATCCTCCCCACCGGCCCCCTCCGCCCAGGCTCCTGTGCTGACTGCACCACCAGTTGCAGCAGCATCAGCCACACCACCCATGCACCCACCAGCACTGCCATTCACAGCAGCAGCACACACGCCCACAGGTGCTGCTGCTCCCACACCTGCCACCACCCCAAGTAACGCCACCACCACCCCCACTGGCGCCCCCTGGTGGTGGCCTGGCGCCCCTGCCCCCTCCCCTTCCTCCGCCCCGCGTCCCCCCACTGCCCCTCTTGCTGCTCCCTCAGCGCCCACTGCCGCCCCCGCGGGCGCATGCGGTGCTGCGCCGTCGTCTGCAGCGTCCACGCCATCGCCCATCCACGGCCTGCTGCTCCCCACCCCCCTCCCTGCCTCTGCCGCCACTCCCCCTGCATCCACCCCTGCACCCTTCTCCCCGCCCCTGCCTGCTGCTGCTGCTACTCCTCTTGCGCTCCCACCCACTCCGCCCTCTGCCGCTTACCCTGCCTCAAGTGGGCTGGCAGCAGCAGCGGATGAGGCGCCTCCCCTCATCCACATTCCCCGGCGCCGCGTGGTTGGCCACTTCACACCTGAGCGCCCTGCTGCTGCTGCTGCTGGAGGTAGCGGTGCTCCCGCCACCGCTGCTTCTGCTGCTCCTTCTGCTGCCACACCTGCTGCTGCAGCAAACGCATCTCAAGTGGAAGCAGCATCAGCATCAGCCGGGGCAGCCCCAGTAGTGCCTGCAGGGGCAGGCGCAGCAGCAGCGGCAGCAGCAGCAGCAGGGGGCATGGAGGCGGCGCTGGCGTCACCGGCGGTGCAGAGCCGGCTGGTGGCGGAGACAGCGGAGAAGATCACCAGCGACCCCGCCTTCAAGACCGCCCTCGCCACCTACATCGCCTCGCTGCTCTCCACCCAGCTCTCCGCTGCCGCTGCTGCCGGCCCCACCCCCGCCGCCACCCCCACTGCTGCAGCCCCTGCTCCTCCTGCTGCCTATGCGCCCCTGGGTGCTGAGAGCAGTGCGGGAGCGGGCACACCAGTGGCAGGTGGTGGTGCAGCCATCCCGCAGCAGCAGGCAGCAGCATCCGTGCAGCAGCATCAGGCACACCAGCAGCACTCCATGTTTCTCTCGTCGCCCTCGTTTGCCTCGTCGCTCTTCCCCGTCCTCCCTCCCTCCACTGCTGCCGCACATGCCCCTGCCGCCTGGTCCTTCACCCCAACAGCCTCCCACTCTGCCGCGGCACCAGCAGCAGCAAACTCGACTCAAGCCATGCCGGCAGCACAGCACCAAGGTGCTGCAGCGCTGCACCAAGCAGCGGCACCCAGCGGGCTGCTGCTGTCGCCAGGCGCCTCTGCATCGCTGCTGCCCTCCCCCCTCGCCGCTCCCACGACCCCAGCTCCATCCCCCCTTGGCTTCTCGCACCTCTTTCAACCGCCCTCCACCACTCCTCTCGACCTCTTCCCGCAGGTACCACTCGCTTCCATCCCCTGAAAGCCAACCTACTTGAGCCATTTGATTCCTTGTCACTGCTTTTGTTTCGGCACTATCCACCAAATCTTTCCCCTCGCCCCCCCTAGTTCACTGCACGCATACACTGAACCACTGCAACCCCGGTACACCAGTTTCAGTTGCTTGCACTACCGTAATTCGTGGGAGCTGTGGTGTTGTTGCACATGCCCTGTCGTGCTCTGTGTGTCGCCAGGTGGCGGCTGGGAAGGATCCGTCCTGCTCGCCCGGCTTTCACTCCAACACAAACCGATCCTGTTGACAGTTGAAGTAGATCCATCCACCCGATCATGGCGCATCTCAAAGAAACTTACCGTAATCCCCTGGCATGGGAGAATTTCTGCAGATTCCAAAAATACCGTATGGGTTGGTAGGCTTTTGGCAGACATCTACCGTGCCATTCTGGAATTGCGATACCATCATGTACATCTGAGTTATAGAGGGGAGGGATGGGTCTTATATTTGTACGACACAGTCAGGGCTGATGTTTCAAATTTAGGTACCCTGATGTCCACCAAAAAAAAAAAAATTTAACCCTGAAGGCATATTTTCCAGAAAAGCAGCACCCTGATTGCTCAGTGTTGGGAAGTTATACAGTCTGAGTGTTCAGGGTCGAGAAGTCACGATCAGGGTACGTGTAGTAACGCGCTGTGCATTATCGAAACTGAACTTTGATGGCGAATCTGTTCTGTGAAAGGGCGAATGTGCAATGTCAGATACATTTTACTGTGATTGGTCAAGACCTTTGTGCTCTGACAGCTCAAATCTGCTGTGTCAGGGCCATTTCGCTGTGATTGGGCAAATTCGTTGCTCCGTACGGCGCGAATTCGCTTTGTCAACGCGAATTTTTAATGACGCTGGTGCTGTGACCAGTCAAGACGGGTTTGACTCACCAGTTTGACCCTCACTAGTGAGCCTCGGAGGTGGGTGTATTGAGAGGAAATTTCGAGGAAGCTTCCTCCCGATAAACTTGCATGCAGGGACCACAGAACGCATACTCTGTAGTGACAGACTCCAGAAATGACTAACACTGAGGCCTATTACACTGAATCAGGGGCCATAAAACAATAACTCTGAGGCTCTCAGTGATGAAAATTTGACTACTCTGGAATTCCATTTTTCACAAACTCGATGGTCTGATCCGTCAGACTAATCAGACTATTTACTCTGATAGCGTCAGCCCTGGACACAGTATGCTGCTTCTTGTACACTGAGCATGTGCCTTGAGCCTCTAGTCAAGCAAACCTCTTGTCAGATTCGCATCCACCCACACTGAAACGCATGCAACCGCAGGCGAACACACTGAAACGTATCTAACCACGCGAAGCTGGCAAGAAGTTCGTCTGACAAGGCGCTGTAGGAACATTGCCTGACAGAGGGAATCCAATATTGCCTTGCCACCAGGGCCCTTGCTAGGATTCTGACACTAGGCAACATATGCAGGATATACGCATCACAAACGTTTGTGCCGCTTTCTCAATGGACATGTCCGGGCCAAAATGTGCCGTTAGGGTTGCTAAGCTAACATGTTTATTGCGAGGCTTGCTTGCATGCCTAATGCATCAGCGTCCTGCTCTCCAGCCCATCTCTTCAAAGGGTCCAAGCGAACGGGCTTCCGGAGCAGGCAGCTAATGTCGTACACTTTCACACATTGATGTTTTTCAAAATTGTGTATTGTGAAAGCGAAGCTGACTGTACCGAATATTTGGCAGCGTCGAAGCGCGCTAAACGCCCTTCTCCAACTACAAAAACCGTGGGTTGGAGTTCATTCCCTCCACCCACGTTTCTCGTTTTCCAACGGCTCAATCAACATTTCCGTTCGAGTAGTTCTTTTCCCCGTCCAAGCTGGCTAGAACTCGCACCCTTCCCAGAGGCGAGTCACCCTCAACACTTCTGCAAGACATTTTCAACCACAATCGATCTACAATGGCGTCTACGCCGGCACTTAACCGCGTCAATTCGTCTGCGCCGGTTTCCGACTCCGACCGTAACGCCCGAGAAATGACGGGCGATCGCCGTAACAAGCGGCGGGCAGAGGAAGGATCGCCCGCCCCAACTGCCGTGGACGTGCTGTTGGGCGGGCTCGAGGTCAACAAAAACTCGAGCCCGCCCCAGCAGCAGCACCCCTCGGCCCCTGTGGCGCCTGTGGCGCCTGTGGCGCCTGAGGCGCGTGTGGCGCAAGTGGCGACGGCGGCACCTGCAGCACCTGGGGCGCCACACGCGCCTGACGCGGAGCACACGCCGGCGCCTGTGGCTGGACCGTCGCGTCAGCGCCAGAGGCGCCGAACATCGACTTCTTCTGACGCGACGACCCCGGCGTTGACCAACGCGTTGACTCCGGACCAGGTCGCTGCGCTTCTGTCCCTGTTACAGCAACAACCCGCCAGCGTTACAGCTACGGAAATTGCACAACCCGCGGCGTCTGCATCTGCTAAAAAGGAAAACGCAAAAAAAAGAAAAAGGAGCGCGAGGAACAACGGCGAACCGGCACAACAAGGAAGCACCAGCCAGCATCCCACCTGCGCCAGCGGCCGACAACGACACCGACGGCTCCGACGACGATGATGGTGAGGCTCCGGTCCATACCGCAAATTTTCATTCCATGGAGCATCTTCCCCCCCTCCCCTCTACTACTAACACCACTTGGTCGGCGGCGACGTTCAACGACGAGCACGTGCGGGCGAAAGCGGAGATTCTGGAGGACATGCGGGCCTACCTGAAACACGCAGAGCACAAGCTGCAGCACGGCGACTTGGCGGGCGGACTCGAAATGGTCGTCGCCGCCCTCGACGACATTTCCGCGCGCTTCGACATGTTTCAAGTCGAAGACGCATCCGACGACCGCGTTGCCAAGCGCTACAAGATGTACCTGCAGAAAAGCCTTCTCACCTCGCGGCCGTTCAAGCAAGCCGTCGCGGACGTGGCTGCCATGGACCGAGCGGCGGGCGCTCACGCTCGCTCCCACCGTGGTGGAAACCACGGCGCCAAGGCGTTCGCCCCAAAACGTGGCCCTCCAACCTCGGGCAACTTCCAAGGCTTTCGTGGTTCGTGTTTCCGCTGCGGACAGCCAGGCCACGTCGCCAATGCCTGCCCTCGGAATGGGCATGGGGGCCAAGGACCCGCACCGGTTGTGTAAGGTTCGGGCTATGGTGAAGCGCGCCTCTAGGCGCGATGCACGGTGCACTTTTGAGTGCTTAGACCGTGGGCAGCCTAGTAGGGCTTGCGGTGGCCATGGCCAGCCCTAGGATAGGGTGGTAGAAGTTGGCCATAGGCCTAGCTTTGGGGAAGAGGAAGAATGCCTCTCGGTCCCCTAGGATAGGGTAATAAAGTATGGCCGTAGGTCTAGCTTTGGGGAAGAGGAAGAATGCCTCTCGGTCCCCCGTATGCCCCAATTGATGGGATGAGAAACATGCTAGTAGGCATGACAATGTATGACCATGAGAGATAGGGATTTTATTAAAGGCCCCTCTTGTTTGTCAAGGATTAAAAAAAAAAAAAAAAAAAAGGAGGAGAAGGGGAGAGGGAGAAAAAGAGAGTACGTACGCTCCTCACTCAAACCGCCACCATGCATGGCAAGGATGAGCAGCCCTGGTTCAACCGTTGGAAGCCCAAAAAGGGTGAGAAGGAGCAAGGGGGGGGGAGTAGGGCATAGCGATGTCGCCTAGCCCAAGTAAAGGCACGCGCGAAAAGACACGAGCTCATGACAAGCGAAGCATGCAAATGCTCAAACAACAATGGAAACACATCCAAAAAGAGAGGGAGAGAGAAAGAGCGAGAGAGAGAGAGAGAGAGAGAGAGAGAGAGAGAGAGAGAGAGAGAGAGAGAGAGAGAGAGAGAGAGAGAGCACACGAGGGAAGCATGATCATGGTCCCAAGCATCAATCCTCCAGAAAAAAAAAAAAAAAAAAAAAAACGAGGGGAGGGAAAAGGAGAGAGTATGAGAAAGAGTTTGCCAAGGTGCGATCGGACGCCCTATATGGAATGACGACAAACCGTCCGTATGGTCCTCACTGTTGACGGTTCATTTTTCGCGCATGCATGTACCGTCTCCCCCCGGATATACCCCCATGGGGGGCAATAATAAAACAGGTTTTTTCATGGGGGTGGGCTTATAATCGAGTAAATTTATAAGCGCCGGCGTTTATAAAATGACATACATATTTTTTTATATCTTTTAACACCAAACTGTAGGTCTCGTGCTTGCCTTTTCAATCGAGTCGAAGTTACATGGGATCGTCTGTGAAATTCTCGCGCGCGCTGGGAGATACACCCAATCTGACTCACATCCAGCTCCTGACAGGTCCTGCTGACTGGACCCGCATCCAGTGCAGGGTCCGAATGTGAAGGGAACCGAATCTGCAACATATCCGCCTGCTAAAGTAAAAATCGTTACAGCTTTTTGAACACATTTCAAATTTCTAAATTTACGTGCGCTTATAATAAAACAAGTTTTTTCAAGGGGTGCGCTTATAATCGAGGAGGGGATATAAGCGCCATATGCCAATTAGAAGCGCCAGGCGCTTATCCTAGGGTGACGCTTATATCCGGGGGGAGACGGTATATGTCACACGCATGAACTAATTAAGGCGTGCAACCTGATTGGTCGCGTTCATTTCCTTGCCGTACATACAGGAGCACAACAATACGAGGTGCCTCGCGACGATGGCCCGTACGAATTCGCCGTCACGGACAAAACCGTCACACGGATGTGCGGTCGGCTTCGCTCGACCTTTGCGTGGTGGAGCTCATGGTGCCCTTGCAGCCTCGTCCTATCCAGTTGCAATGAGAACGATGCCAAATTATAAGGACAAGAAAGCAAGCTTTCTCAATCTGAGTGTTCAGGGTCGAGAAGTCACGATCAGGGTACGTGTAGTAACGCGCTGTGCATTATCGAAACTGAACTTTGATGGCGAATCTGTTCTGTGAAAGGGCGAATGTGCAATGTCAGATACATTTTACTGTGATTGGTCAAGACCTTTGTGCTCTGACAGCTCAAATCTGCTGTGTCAGGGCCATTTCGCTGTGATTGGGCAAATTCGTTGCTCCGTACGGCGCGAATTCGCTTTGTCAACGCGAATTTTTAATGACGCTGGTGCTGTGACCAGTCAAGACGGGTTTGACTCACCAGTTTGACCCTCACTAGTGAGCCTCGGAGGTGGGTGTATTGAGAGGAAATTTCGAGGAAGCTTCCTCCCGATAAACTTGCATGCAGGGACCACAGAACGCATACTCTGTAGTGACAGACTCCAGAAATGACTAACACTGAGGCCTATTACACTGAATCAGGGGCCATAAAACAATAACTCTGAGGCTCTCAGTGATGAAAATTTGACTACTCTGGAATTCCATTTTTCACAAACTCGATGGTCTGATCCGTCAGACTAATCAGACTATTTACTCTGATAGCGTCAGCCCTGGACACAGTATGCTGCTTCTTGTACACTGAGCATGTGCCTTGAGCCTCTAGTCAAGCAAACCTCTTGTCAGATTCGCATCCACCCACACTGAAACGCATGCAACCGCAGGCGAACACACTGAAACGTATCTAACCACGCGAAGCTGGCAAGAAGTTCGTCTGACAAGGCGCTGTAGGAACATTGCCTGACAGAGGGAATCCAATATTGCCTTGCCACCAGGGCCCTTGCTAGGATTCTGACACTAGGCAACATATGCAGGATATACGCATCACAAACGTTTGTGCCGCTTTCTCAATGGACATGTCCGGGCCAAAATGTGCCGTTAGGGTTGCTAAGCTAACATGTTTATTGCGAGGCTTGCTTGCATGCCTAATGCATCAGCGTCCTGCTCTCCAGCCCATCTCTTCAAAGGGTCCAAGCGAACGGGCTTCCGGAGCAGGCAGCTAATGTCGTACACTTTCACAGCGGGCTGCCAACAGCGCGCACTTCACAGCCAGCAGGCAGACGCCACATTGGAACAGCGGAATCCCTTGACCTAGAACAACCAGCCCGTCCTGGTGGGAGGGTCAGGGCGCAGGGGCTTCTGGAGCAGGTAGTTGAGGTACATGTGAGCGCCGACGCGCTCCCCCAGGTCGGGCTTGGGCAGCACGTGTGTACAGGCGCTTGTACCCCAGCGCCCTGATCAGCGCTGCGTACACGGGCATCTCGTCCATCGGCGCGTAGAACATCTCAAACCACAGCACCCCTCCTGCCAGGCACATGCACACACGTGCGGGGGGAATGGGAGGGGCCGGTGGCATGGAAGGGATGGGAGGGTTAGGATGAGTGAGGTGGATGCAGCGTGTTGGAAGAGTGGTGGCGATGAGTTAGGGGCAGTGTGATGTGAGGTAGGGATGCGCAGGGCTGGTCCATAGCCGCCCCGACCTGGGACAGCCGGTCTTGAGGACGAGCTAGGCCGGCCTCTTCAGATTTTCGGTACGGTTTGTGCCAGTCTGAAAAGCAATGTAGCTTGAGTTGATGGTCCGTGACAAGATGTGTCTTGGACCGTCGGAGGCAGATGCATTTGATTACATCTGTACGAATGCAGCACGCAAAAGTTGTGAGAGTACTGAAAGTCGGTCGTGCCGGGCCAAGGCCGCGACTGGGTACATTAGCCCCACCACTAGCCGGGCCCAACCTGTCTCGTTTCGACAAGCCGTGGCGGGGCTGCTTTGAGATCCGGGCCGCTGTGAAATCGGCCCATCACTAGCTGTCCCTCGGCCTCCTGTGGCTCATGCCGAGTACGCAGTGCTGCTGTGGGGTGGGGGCCCATGGCACGTGCTATAATGAGAACGCAGGGATGGAAATACGCGGAGACAAGAGGTGTGATGGCAGGCAAGGTGTGATGGCAGGCAAGGTGTATGGCAGGCAAGGTGTATGGCAGGCAAGGTGTATGGCAGGCAAGGAGAATGGCAGGCAAGGTGTATGGCAGGCAAGGTGTATGGCAGGCAAGGTGTATGGCAGGCAAGGAGAATGGCAGGCAAGGTGTATGGCAGGGAAGCAGGGCTAGTGCAGATGGTGGGTGAGAGATAAGGTAGCAGAGTAAGGACAGGGGAAGATATGCACGTGCAGCAAGCACAATGCAGCAACCTTCGAGTGCGTGACACGAGCGAAAGCAGGGGCAGCAGGGAGCAGGGCAGGGAGCACGCACCGACTCGGAGCACGCGGTCCCAGTCGTAGAGCAGCTCCTCAAACTCCTGGATGGGCAGGTACTCAATGCTGTTCACACAGTGCACCATGTCCAACGTGCCGTCCATAAACGGCAGCCGTCGCTGTAGGGGTTGGTCAGGGGGGAGGGAACAGCGAGAGGGAGGGGCGATGGGGAAAAGATGGGGGAACGGACGAAGGGAAGATGAGAAGGTGAGTGGAGGAGAAGCGAATGCGCATTGGAGATTGATTGAGGGGATATGAGGACTACAATGGTGGAGTCTTAACAATAGTTCAAGAAGCATTTTAATGCTCTACAGCAGAAATCTACACCTGACCTTACAGCCCACCTATTTGCCCAGCACTCTACTCCCAACTCCCTACTACCCTTCACCCCTCACCCTACTCCGTACACCCCATAACCCCCACCACCCATGCGATACCCATCACCGCACACCTCACAACAACCCGCACCCCCCACCTCACACCCCGCACCTCCCACCTCACACCCCGCATCCCCCACCTCACATCCCGCATCCCCTACCGTACACCCGCACTCAGCGCACACCCCACACACCCTGCCACCCCCGGGGCCATCTTGTGGGGGACGTGCAGCGGGATGAGGCCGCGCAGGGCGATGGTCTCCATGTACGGCAGGCCCTGGCGGCGGCCGGTGACGGTCTCGATGTTCATGGCGGTGGTCATCACCGTCACATTGTACCGCGCCATGTGCGCCGCAAAGCTGCCCGTGTTGCCGCCCGCGTCCAGCCCGATCCTGCTTGTGATGCGGTAGTGGTACGCACAGTGTTGGTACGCACAGTGTTGGTACGCACAGTGTTGGTGCGAGCGGAGGTGGTGCGAGCGGTGGTGGTGCGAGCGGTGGTGGTGCGAGCGGGGTGTGTGTGGTGGGAGGGAACGGGTGGTTATGTTGCTGTGGGTGTGCGGAAGAAAGGCAAGGGTGAGCAATGCAAAGATCTGCAGAGGGCATGAGGTCCTGCTGGCTGGTGCAGAGGAACATCATCACAGCACCACGCATCACGCCCACCTGAGGGTCCCGTCCCGTTGATCGTGTTGATGAACTCCTTGCTGGACAGCGAGCCGCGGAAGTGGCGGTGCCAGCGGTTGCGCTCGATGGTCATGTTGTAGCACAGGCGGCAGTCACCGATGAGACGCGCATTGAGGCAGGCGAAGGACTTGCAGTGGTGCAGCGCCCACCGCACTGCCCCGTCCTTCAGTGTGCCCTGGCTGAAGAGCGACTCCGGGAATGGGGTGGGCTGCCGAGGGGGAGAGGGGAGGGGGTGGGGAGGAGGGAGAGGGGGACGTGTGGGTTGTGGGAGGAGGGATGGTGTTGACTGGAAATGACCCGCCCTCGCTTGGGCGTAGCCGACTTGGTAGTCGGGTGAGCGGGAGCTGCAGCCGGCTGCTGTCAGTGGTCGACGCCGACTTGGGAGAGCATGTCGACAAACTTGGTCGACTTCCGCGGCACTACTATCAAGCCGCCGACGAAGGTGTTCGTCAACCGGGCGTTGGGGAATTACCTGGTCAACGAAGTTCTGCGAGGGTTCGCGGACGTTGCCCAGGAAGATTTGGCGAAGTGGACCTGCGGGCTGGTATCCCGAGGTTGACATGGCACATCTGACGCAACCGTCGGCACGTAACCAACTTGGCACCTGCACAACGTGCGCGACCGTCACACATGCGCTTACAATCACATGCGGTTGCGACGCTGGCAAGCCGCCTTGCTGTAGCGTTGGCAAGCTGTCCTGGTGCGACGTTGGCAAGCTGTCCTGGTGCGACGTTGGCAGGCCGCCGACTTGCAACGTTGGCAAGACGCCTCCCAGCTGTGTTGGCAGAGTGTCGACTTGCAGTGCTGGCAAGCCGCCCTCGCGCTGCGCTGGAGGTCGACCTGCCTGTGTGCTAAGCTGCTGGGCACTAATGTTGTCCCTTGTTGCCATTGCTATTATATCATTGTGTAATCCCTTCGCTAGTACTAATCTTGCCAGGTTTCTCCGTGAATGCGCAAGTAGAAAGAACACGAGCAAACACTACGATCACGCGTACCACCCGTGCCTTCCCGCGTAGTCCAGCTCCCGGTGTATAGTGACTCTCCGCAGATGGGAAGGGATTGGAAGAGGTTTGTGGAAAATTTTTAGGATTATGGTGGGGGGTTGGTAGAGAGTGGGGAATGGAAAGGGCGAGGAGGAGCAAGAGAGGTATGAGAAATGAGAGATGTGGGATGTTGAATGGAGAACCGAGTCAAGATTTTCTAGAAAATGCTCATGCACATTAGCATACACCCTTCTCAATTTCCGTCCTTCCACTCCTTACCCCCCATTCTCCGCCCCCTCCCCTTTCTCTCAACTCTCCCGTGCTGCTTCCCACCTTCCCATTATCCGATTTGCTTCCCTCCCTGCCACCCTCACTCCCTCCTTCATTCCAACCCCGCCCCCCTTCCCCCCCCCGCACCCTCCCTTTCCCCCCTGCCTTGACTCGCCTCCACGAGCTGCTGTGAGGTGCGGGTGAGGCAGCGGCGCGTGGGCAGAGCGAAGCAGTTGTTGGCGAAGAGCAGGTCCTGCGTGTGGAACCAGTCGTCGGGGCACAGCTGCTGCGGCTCAAAGTCCATATAGCGCCGCATCTCCTCCACCGACGCGTTGCATGCATACGCCTGCGAGGCGCCAAGGGGAGGGGGGAGACGAGGAGGGAGGAAAAGGGGGACGAGTGTTAGGACATGAGAAGGGAGTGACATGACATGCATTCTAGCCCAGATAGAGAATCGAGTCGGCCATGAGGACACATGCGACGAACTCCTCTCGGCTCCTAGTCTCCCCCACCCCACCCTCTTTCCCCCATCCCTTTCCCCCCACCCTTTCCCCCTTCCCCGTCCGAATTACCCAGCAGCTTGTCCTCTTTCTCCCCAGGGAGTGGAGGGTGGTACGGGAAACGGGGGAGGAGGGTGTGAGAGGTGGGGCGCACATGAGGGAAGGGAGGGGGAACGAGTACTAGGAAAAGGGTAGAAAGAGAGTATGGATGGATGAGAGGAAACCGGGACGGAATGTCGACATGTGCTTTGAGAGGTGTGGATAACCTCCGATGTGCACTCCGGCACATGGCAACGCGGCAGGCGACACGTTGCAGAGGAGAGACGGGCGGGGCAGAATCCGAGTTGACTCAAAGCAGAAAATGCTTGAAGGGTGAGGAGTGGAAGTTAGGCGGAACTAGAGGCGGGAAAGGGCGGATGGAAGGGGAAAGGCGAATTGAGGAAGGGTGGAGCGGAGGTAAGAATACTGTGCGAAGAATGGGGATGTGAGGAAGTGGGAAGCGTGACTTACCATGGCAGCACACATTGCCATGGCAGCACACCTTGCCATGGCAGCACACCTTGCCATGGCAGCACACCTTACCATGGCAGCACACCTTACCATGGCAGCACACCTTACCATGGCAGCACACCTTGCCATGGCAGCACACATTGCCATGGCAGCACACCTTACCATGGCAGCACACATTGCCATGGCAGCACACCTTACCATGGCAGCACACCTTACCATGGCAGCACACATTGCCATGGCAGCACACCTTGCCATGGCAGCACACCTTACCATGGCAGCACACCTTACCATGGCAGCACACATTGCCATGGCAGCACACCTTACCATGGCAGCACACCTTGCCATGGCAGCACACCTTACCATGGCAGCACACCTTACCATGGCAGCACACATTGCCATGGCAGCACACCTTACCATGGCAGCACACATTGCCATGGCAGCACACCTTACCATGACTGCACACCTTGCCATGGCAGCACGTGAAGCACACTGGGACAAGTAACCATTTCCATGCCATGCCATCCTGTACTGTGTCATCCCATGCCACGCCATGCCTACGCCATGCCACGCCATCCCATCCCATCCCATCCTGTGCAGTGCAATCCGAGTGCCAGGACAGCTGTGTGACAGCAATGAGAGCGATGTGAGGTACGCACCTTCCATGTGGGCACGGGCGAGGACACCACCATGCCATCGCCATCACACCACGCCACCACCTCACGCGCCTTTTTCATCGCCTGCACCCGCACAGCCCACACACACTCCACTCACACACGCCACACACACACTCCACCCACACGCCACTCACACACGCCACTCACACACGCCACCCACACACGCCACCCACACACGCCACCCACACACGCCACCCACACACGTGACAGCACTGAGGCTCATCCCATTCCATTCTCTGGCACAACCGATCGTTCTCTTCTCTCTCCTCTTGTCCGCACGTCAGAGTTGTGCCAACACCACTGGCCACCCTCCACCCCAACCGACCCTTTCCCTCCTTTAGCTTGCTCTTTTTCTCTGGAGGCTGCACACAGCAAGCACTCAGAATTTTGGAGGACGCTCATTGATGGCAATTGATTCAAGTACCGTGCATGCCCGTACCTCACCCTGCTCCCACACTGTACATGCCTGTAACCATGTATGCCCCTTCAGTCTCTCTGAGTGTCCATCCATCCGCCCATCTCTCAGCCCCTATCTGCCATATGTCCGTGTGTCCGGCTGTGCTAATGATACTGCAAGCAGCCCACCAGCCCCAGCTCTGCAGGCAATCTCGTGCTTCATTTGGCCTCATCAAATCACTCCTATTGTGCATGCCTTGTCCCCCCACCTCCCACCTCACTCTCACTCTCAGTTACTCGCACGCACAATCGCACCCTCACTCCAACTCTCAGCCTCACTCCGCCCGCATGCAGGGAGCACGGCACGGCACGCACGGACGGGGGCAGCAGGCGGGCGTCCCAGTCGATGGCACTCTCGTCCACCTGCCCGTCCAGCTGCATCTTCACGCTGTTCACCCGCCGCAGCTCCTTCTGCCGTACCACATGCACGCATGCGAGCAGAGGGGAGAAAAAGCGGTGAATGTACGTTTTGCTTGGCCGCCTTCATTGGGAGCCACTGAAAAGTGGACGTTTTTCCGCTTCTCTTCTTCTTCTGCTATTTTTCTTGTTGCTTAGTGAAGCTGTGGCACATGTCAAAGGAGAAAAAAAACTCAGTGGTGACCTGATTTTGCTATTTTTCTTTCCCTTTTCTTTCCCAGAACCAAACAACCATGGTTGGCTGAAACATTCAGTGCATACCGCATGAGGAGTGGCCAGACAACAATGACGCCCACTCGTACGCCCATCACTTGACTTGCCCTTTATTCTCAACACAAGCTCCTGCTATACAGATTCTGTAGAGAGCACTTTCGTCACAGTCGCACACACCACCCAATCCGTCCAAGGGAAAAATTCGGCCCAGACACCGTTGGAGTGCTCACCCGTTTGCGCTCCACAGAGGCCCACATGGCGTCAAGCTGAGTGATCTGGTCCTTGAGCTTGTGCCGCCACGACTCGTATGCCACCAGCCTCCTGCGCTCGCCACCCTCCCCTCTCCACACCTCCTTCCTCCACTCTTTTCGCCCCTCCCCTTGGCTCTCGGCCTGCCTTGCACCTGCTGCTGGCCCTGCCAGGGACCCGCCAGTCCGCATGGCAGCTTGCATGGCTGCTCCCCCTGCTGCTCCACTGGTACCTTCAACCACTGTCATTGTGGTGTGCGTGGCATGGTGTTGTACGCCATGCCATGGTATGGTATGGCATGGCATGGCGAGGCGAGGCAAGGCGTGGTGTGGAGGAGAGCAATGCATGGACGTGCGGGAAGAGACAGAGAGAGGGAAGGGCAAACGGAAGGCAGTGCAAACAGTGGTTGGCTATCAGAGGGAGGGACGAAGTGGCGTTGCTGATGACACAGTGGGATAGCGCCCCACACGGACACCAAGGGAACGGGAAGGAGGTGGAAGAAAAGGGAGAAAATCCCACCAAGATTCTGATCGGTTCAAGAGGGTGTGTATGGCACCACAAGCGCGGTGGCTTGGTGGCGTGCATATGGAACGCGACTGCGTCATGCTGCAACAGAGCTCATTCGCCCTCCATCACCCGCATTGCACACACTCTTCCAACAGCCTCGCAATAGTGCTTGTAAATGCACGCCCATGTAGCTATCACCTGCGCCATGGCCGCTGTGGTACCACTGCCGCAACCCCGCCAGCTCCTCCTGTCGGAGTTGCGGCTGCACTCTTCTTTGCCTTGATTCTCCTGCTCTGTCTCTCCTTCGTTCCCTCTATTGCCTCAGCCACTCTCATGAAAGTGACGAGACTCTCACCTCAATGGTCCTCCCTGAGTGGGTGTCACCAAACGCAAGGCTAGAGGTAACCAGAATCCACTATACGAAAGGATAACAAACGGAAAGCATTGTGTGTGTGTGTGAGAGTGAACTTACCTGTCCCTGGCTCGAGCCGTGCATTTCTCAATGTGCGGCTCGGGCCTGGGTGGGTTTGTTCCCATTGGTCGCGAGGATTTCACCCCTTGGTGATCTCCTACCAACTCCGCGTCAATTTCCCAGCCCCCCACCTACTTATCCTTGAGGCTGCATACACCAAATACAACACATCACTACACCCGTCCTACACCTTAATCATACTGGCACCTTATATGCACAACCGTGCATATTCGGTGACAGCTGTCGGAGTTGCGGCTGCACTCTTCTTTGCCTTGATTCTCCTGCTCTGTCTCTCCTTCGTTCCCTCTATTGCCTCAGCCACTCTCTGCCCCCTCCTGTGCCCGTGCTCGAGCAGCTTGAGCGCGGGTCACAGGACCAGTACGCTGAGGCCCTGTTCCCCTTATCACTGCCGTGTTCGTCTGATGTTCCCGCAGCTGCGCCCCCGCGTCATTTTCCAAGACCAGCACTCCTGATGGGCGCACCTCCTTGACTTTCCAGCGCACTGTCCCCAATCCCACATCTAGGGTGTCCTGCTTGGCCTTCTTCAGATACACTTCCTGTCCTTCGCTGATGGCCCTTGCCGCTCGGCCCTCCCCCTTTTGCTGCCTTTGTTCATATCGTCTGGCATCTCTGAGCTGTGCGGTGCGCAGGTTCTCCAGCGCGGCTGGCATCATGTAACGCATGTACCGCGCCCTCACCTCGGACAGGGCTACCCAGTTCTTGATTGTGCCCGCTGTCACTGTGTCTGTCAGCACCCGTGGTGCCCCCACAGGCAGGATTGGGTCCCGTCTGTATAGCAGGCTGTATGGGGAATGATCCTTCAATGCTGCCTGCTTCCCGAATCTATACCCTGCTGCGATCCAGTCCAGCTCCTCATCCCAGTCCCTCTTCCGCTGCTCCCCATAGGCCCGGAGCCCTCGCTTGAAGGTCTGCACTGCTCGCTCAGTCAGCCCGTCGCTCTGCGGGTGGTAGCGAGAGGTCTTCCGATGGGTGATGCCCGACTCCGCCAGCAACTTCTTGAACTCCCCCTGGAACTCCGTTCCCTGGTCTGTAAGCACCTCCCCACATGCCCCAAACCTACACACGACCTGTGCCTTGAAAGCTGCTGCAATGTGCCTTGAGCTCTTGCTGGGGATGGCTCTCACCTCCAGCCACTTGCTCACATGCTCCACCATGAACACGATGTACTGGTTCCCACTCCTGCTTAGGGGCAGCTCCCCTGCCAGGTCTAAGGACCATCGGAACCCTAGCCCGCAGATTGGCAGTGAGTTCAGCTCTGCCTTGGCCTGCGTCAGGTTGGCTTTGCTCCTCTGACATGCCTCACACCCCTCTACCCACTCCTTCACCTGTCTGCGCATCCCTTCCCACCACCAGCCCGTCTTCAGCAGATGTACGGTCCTCTCATGTCCGAAGTGTCCCAGCTTAGTGTGTACCTCTTTGATTATTGCTTCACGGTCCTGTGGCGCTGGCACCAGCTTCCAACCGTCCTCTGTCTTGACCTGCAGCTGCTGCTGGTACCACCTGTAGTGGTGTCCTCGTGCTCTCACTCTGTCAGACACTGCCTCGTCTTCCTCTGTTTCTCCCCTCACCCACTTCATCGCCTTCTCATCCTGCCATATGTCCGCTGGCCCCTTACTCCCCTTGGCACCGACTTGTTCCACTTCTCTCGCCAGCATGATCAGGGTGTGCGCTGGCTCCTGCTCTGTCCCCTCCGTCCCCTGTGTTCCTTGTCCTGTTTCCAGCAGTGGTGGATTACGGGAGAGACCGTCTACGTGCTGCAGCGTCTTCCCCGGCCTGTGCCTGATCTGGAAATCATATTCCTGCAGCTTCACGGCCCACCTGGCGTTCCTTCCCGTCAGCCCTGGTGTGGTCATCAGCCACGTGAGGGGCTGATGATCAGTGACCAAGGTGAACTCGCGGCCCTGCAGGTACACCCTGAAGTGCCCAACTGCCCACACTGCCGCCAGTCCCTCCCCTATGTATGAGCTATACTGCGCCTCTGCGGGGTTGCAGCTCCTGCTGGCGTAGGCTACCACCTTCTCCACTCCCTCCACCCCCTGGCACAGTATTGCCCCCATCCCCTGGCTGCTCCAATCGGTGTAGAGGACGAAAGGTTGGTCTGCTGTTGGCAGCCGTAGCACTGTCGCCGTCTTTACAGCTGTCATGAGGTCTTGGAGTGCTACCCTCTGCTGCTCTCCCCACTCCCATGCCTTGTCCTCACGCAGTATCCCATTCAGCACCGCCGCCCTCTTACTGAAGTTAGGCACAAAGCGCCTGTAGTAGCTGAGGAAGCCCAAGACCGCGCGCAGCCCTGACTTGTCTCTAGGTTCCCTCAGCCTGTCCAGCACCTGTACCTTTGCTTGCTGGATCCCGATCTGTCCCCCTGTCACCTCATACCCCAGGTACTGCACCGTCCGTTCCCCCCACCTGCATTTGTTGGGATGGCATGTGAGCCCTGCCTCCTCTATTGCACTCAGGGTCCTCTCCACGTCCTCCAGATGCTGCTGCTCGGTCAAGCTGAAGATGACTACATCATCGATGTAGCATGCTGCATGTTCAATTCCCCGCAGCACCGCGTCCATGACTCGTTGAAACACCGCCGAGGCGTTCCGTAGGCCGAAGGGCATGTATAGCCACTCGTACAGCCCGTCCGGTCCGTGGAAGGCTGTCTTCTTCACATCTTCTTCCCTGATTTTTATTTGATTGAATCCCTGGCGCAGGTCCAGCGTCGTGAAGTACACCCCGTCGGCCATCTTGTCAAAGAGCTCCTCCGCCATCGGCATGGGGTACCTGTCCGGCACGGTGATCTTATTAAGATCTCTGTAATCGCCGCACATCCTGCGGCTCAGCACCTCTCCTGTCAAATCCTTCCTGGCTGCCACTACCGTCGGGGTCGCGTACTCTGACTCTGACCTTCTGATCAATCCAGCTTCCAGTAATTCCTTTATTTTCTCCCTGCAGATCGCCTCATCCCCAGGCGGCATCTTTCTTCGGCGGTGGAACACCGGCTCATCGCTGCTCAGCTTCAATGCCATCTCCTTGATCTTGCACTTCCCCAACTCCTGCAGGGTGAAAGCGAAGCCCCTCCTGTGCCTAACCAGCAGTGCCAGCATGGCTGCCTTCCCTCCCTCACTCATGCTCTCACCTATCTTCCACTCATGCTCTGCTTTCGGCAGGCAGGCCCATGCCCCCTGCCTCACCGTTGCTACTGTGTTCTCGCCCTCCTTCAGTCCCCAGCGCAGCACTGTCTCTCTCCACATCCGCTGCACCAACCACCTCATCACGTACCCATCCATTGCGTTCCCCATTGCCCGCCTCCGTTCCTGTTCAGTGACGCCAGGGGCTGCTGTAGCGTTCTCCTTGTACCCCATAGCCAGCTCCCTCTCCAGGGCCGTGGGCTCCTCCCACCTTCCCTTCCCGTGGTCGAGCACTAGTCCTGGGCCTGGCTGCTTCCCATCCATCTGGTACCCTGCTGCCCCCTCATATGACACTAGCGTAGGCAGTGCTTGCCTCTCCTGCCCCACTTGATTGCACGGATAATGTCGGCTGTAGCTCTTCTTATACACTGGTGCTGGCGTTCGCCCAGGCTCCAGTATATCGCTCAGCTTCCGCCCCCCTGCTCTCCGTACCCCCTCTATCTCCTTCTGCAGGTCTTCTGCTGGCACCACATTCTGCCAGTACATCCTGAGCCTGTGTGCGTAAGCTCCCATCCGTGTCGCGTCGCAGCTCACTCCCTTTCCCACCTGTCTGGTCACTCGCTCCCTTACTACTCGTATGGGCTCGCGCACATCTCCTTCCATGTCTAAATGCTCCAGCAGGTAGGCCACCCTGCTTTGTCGAGCCTGCAGCCACTCCAGAATTTTGAACAAGTCCTCCATCAGTTGTGTCCGTAGGTCTTGCTCACCCTTGCCCTTCCCTGCCCATGATACCCCTTGGCATTCCCATCCCGCCACCAACAGGTCCACGTGCCCCCAGCTCGCCACCTCAGCCTCTGTGATGGCCCGTACATCGTGCACTCCTCTACTCATTGCTGCCTTGATCACTTCTTCCTTCAACAGCTCCGGGAACTCGCGGTGCAGCTGCCATGCGTGATGCTCCGCCATTTTCCTTGCTTCTGCCGCCTTCTCTACGTAAATCCACTGCTTCACTGCGATCCCGTTCCGCACCACTGCTGCCAACCCCGCCCCTATACCCCCAAATAGTTCCACCAGGCGGATAGGTTGC